CAGTTACATTCATCATTGGGATTCTGTACCTTTACATAATAGGTCTTGATTCTCATTTTTTCTGATCCTTTCTTTTGAGACAAGTTCTTGCTGTGTAGTTCAGGCTGGCCTTGAACTCAATGTGCAGCCTATGCTGATCCTCCTGCCCCAGTTTGAGTGCTGGGATTATTTATAGGTGTGCACCACCACACTGAGCCTAATTCCATTTTTAAAGGATAAATAGGTGTAATTGGACTGGACTTTGAGACAGAGAAGCCCTTGTACATGACCCCAAAATATTGAAAGAACTCAAAAGATGATCATTATCCGTTAGAATTTAAAATGTTAGGAGCCACAGGTTTTTAAGGGCACTGGGAAGCCATTAAAAGGTTTTAGTGCTGATGTGGTATGATCAGATTTGTTTTTATTTTTTTAATTTATGTATGGCTATGCTGGGGAGCGAACCCAAGTTCTTGTGCACGCTGGGCAACTACTGCACCACTGAGCCACTTCCCAGCCACAGATCTGTGTTAAAGCACGATGTGCTGTGGAGACTGACAAGAGAAAGGGAAAGCGAAACACCGAGTTCTCTTCCCACACTAACATTTGTGCCATGTCTGCCATGTGCCAGGCAATGTACCAGTTATTACCCTCACCTCACAGATGAAACATCAACCCAGAGACAGTAAGTACTTGTCAGAGTCACAGCCAGACAGCTGCCTTCGGGTTCTTACTCCTCACTATAACGTACCCTGTCACTGGAGAGAGGTCCTGGGGTGCCGTGATGAATCCCTGACCAGAGGAGGTGCAGGGAGAAGTTGACTCAGGTGGGGGTCGGGTTTCTGACGAGTGACTGCCTGGCAGCACGGTTTCTCTGTGGAGTAGAGAACTCGGAAGGGATGATAGATTTCTGTCAGATGGGAGACGGGGTGAGGACGGGTCCCAGTAAACTTACTGCCAACAAGTGGCCCCCATGTCCCTAGAAGGCCAGAAAACCCTGCTGTGCCACTTACAAGCTGTCTAACCTTTGAACCTCAACTTTATTCTCTGCAGATGTAAATGGAAATAACGAAACACAACTTAGTCAGTTTAAGGGTGAAATTCAATGAAACTTGTAAAGGGCTTGGCACTGAGTCCATTACATAGTACTATTCAGTGGATGTTATTAAATACATATTCAGTGGCTGTAATTAAATACAAGTCGTTTTACTGGTTTCGGCCTTCTTGTGATGAGAATTGTGCCTTCTTCATCTTCAAACCTACGGATTGCCTTTCCTTGTCTTTTCTGCTTTGGGGGGGTAACGCTGAAGGAGCGGCGTGCGCAGTCAGTCCACAGATAGCTGTTTCATCCTTGTAGACATGATGTGAGGTGCCAGTTATAGTACAAAACTAGACAGAGAAGGGACTGCCGCATCCCTGCTCCAGGAAGGGAAGGAATAATGTAAAGCGAAATAAGTGAGATAATTTCCCAGAAGAACGCATAAGCTTGGAGAATGATGACACTAATGGGGGAGGGCTGCCAACAACTAGGATAAAATAGGACTGGGGTCTGATCTCTCTGAAGTCACAGTTACAGTGGGCCTGAAAAGAAGAGCCAGGTGAAGAGCCAAGAAAGTAGCTAGAGGCACCTGGCTGGGCGTGGTGGTCCACACCTATAATCCCAGCATTTGGGAGGCTGAGGCAGGAGGATGGCCAGCTAGTAAGACTTATCTCAAAGAACCTGGAAAAAAAAAAGCAAAGGCATGAGGTGAAAACAGTTGAACTACATAGTTACAAAATGAGACCCTGTGTCAAAAAAAAAAAAGATAAGTAGATATAGGCAAAGGCCTGAGATGAAGACATCTCCTTTTGGGGAAGGTAAGAGAGGGCAGTGGGGCTGGAATGGAAAGGAGGTCATGGGAGCTCTCAAAGAGCCCGGCAGGCTGTGAGAGGAGGCTGGTGTTGGGTGACAAGGACATGAACAGGACGTTAGATCCTGTTCCCCGTTTAGGAGATTTGGTGCTGCTTATGGAGACTCTGGAAGGCCAGGAGTAGAGGAGAGGCCTGGCAGTAGCCATGGCATTGCAGAAGCCAAGGCAGGTGGGTGGCTTTCACAGTCATGCTCCTGAAAGGCTCGCCCAGCTTAGCGGAGGTCGGCTGTCCTCTTCCAAGTGTTAGGCACCGGCCTTACTTGTGGGTTCTTGTGCTTACACATGGCCGCGTGTGCCGAAGCTCTTTATTCCTGCCCTGAATGGAGGACCTGCGCCAGAGGCACTGTGGCACCGTCTCTGGGTATGAGGCTGGGTATTCCCACTGTACTATCATCTGTGGGGAAAAGCAGGGATCCCATGGTGTTAACGATGGAAGTCACAGCCATTCAGTGGCAAAGCCATCTCCTCCCGGTGGCATCTTAGCATTTTGGCTAAATGAAAGGCAGCTTGATGTTGTCCCTGCTAAACTATGTTAACAGCTTGTGAGTGTAGGTGTTAATTTAAAGGGTGTTAAACAGCGCTGCAGGACCTGGTAGAGATAATTTCTAAAGCACTTGGTGGCACACAGCATGTCAGGCAGGTGTGTGGTGCACCAGAGCCACAGATTCGAGAGGGAGAGGTGGGTGGGGGCCAGCGTCCTGTGTAACAGCTTGCTGGTTTTGATGTGTGCTTTGTTTTTTTATTAGAAAAGTGTGATGCAGGGATACATGGTTGTGAAAATTTGAAATAATGATTTTCAGAGCTCCTGTAAACAATATGACAGGAAACTGGACCTGCTCTGTGACTGTGTGTATTCCTCTGCCACAGAGGGAGGACAATAGCACACACTTCAAAGTGACACATGGTCATACACGGACAGCAGTTGAGAGCCGAGTGACCGTGTGTGTCAGTTACTATGGAAGCAGAACCCTTTCAGAGAGAAAACTAACCACAGGGTGTGTGCTCACCTAGTGGGAGTGCGTGGGCACTGCGCTGGCCTCTACAGTGACTCCTGTGTAGTTGCTGGTCCAGTGTGAATCAGTAGCACATCTGTGGTCTAAAAAGCGGGGCCTTTTTTTTCACTAGTGCCAGTGAATTTATCTGATTTGCCCTGTTTCCTGGGTCCCATCAAAAGGATATCTAAAAGATTACAGATGTAACATCATATTTCTTTAGCCAAAATAGCTGTTTCTTTGTTTTGTTTTTTGCAATACTGGCCTTGAACCCAGGGTCTCTGCATGGAGCTGCAACCTCTGCCTGTTTTTATTTTGAGACAGGATCTTGCTAAGTCACAAAGTTGTCCCTACTGGGCTTGAACTTGCAGTCCTTCTGCCTTAACCTCCCATGGTGCTTGGATCACAGGTGTGTGCCACCATGCCCAGCTGAGAGGAACAGATTTTCAAAGCACTATTATTGTTTTATCCTTGTGCCATATTTTTTATTTTGTTTGTTTGAATTATTTTTGTTATTGTTTTTTGAGACAGGGTCTCACTATGTAGTTGAGACTGACCTGGAACTCACTGTGCAGCCCAGGCTGGTCTCGAACTCACAGCGATCCTCCTGCCTCAGCCTCCCGAGTGCTGGGATTACAGCCGTGTGCCACCATGCCTGGCTGTTTGTTTGATTTTTGAGAAAGGGTCTCCCTGTGTAGTTTAGAATGGGCTTGAACTCACTATGTAGCCCAGAACTTGAGGTTATCCTCCTGCCTCAGCCTCCCAAGTGCTAAGATTAGAGGTGTGCATCACCATGCCTGGCCCTTGTATCATATTCTAAACATTTAGACAAACAGAAAAAAAAAAAAATCCAACACTGTTTTCACTTTATAAGTTTTTAAAAATAGAACTCTAGTATTTTACTTTGGTATCAGCAGTTTATTGAGAGTAGTCCTAAGTGTCTCAGGAGAGATCAATATTTAAATGGAGGATATACCACCCTCTTTATTGTTCTTTCAACCCACCTTTTATGTGTTATCTTAATACTGTTGACCTTAAAAATTATTTTAATGATTTTAAACGTCTTGAAAGGAGCTGGGAGTTATTTTGCCATAAGGAGCCTTAACATGGGCCATATGTAATTCGTCTTAATAACTCATAAAGTAGTGACTCAATGATAAATCTAACAGCCGTCTGCACAAACATGGTTTTTACATGGCCTTCATCCCTCAATCACTTTACAGAGTGTAAATAGTTTCTAAGCCATATATGTTGTTTTTACCTGGTGGACCAAGGCCCACTGGAACTATTAATGTAAGCAGTCAGGCCGCATACAGAGGACTCCAGGCCTGAGTATTTATGAAATCAGTGTGTATAGCAAAGAAAGCGTGTTTTAAGTGTGTTTAGGGTGGAACTGAATGATGAAGGTGGTGTGAAAAGTCATAATGCTCCTGTCATATGTGTCAGGGTCTGTTCTCAAACTGGAAGTATGACCTTTGTCTTATTCTGTGGTTGCAGTCGGAGCTCGCTTTACCTGTGTTGTTTCAGAAATTGTTCACGGAGAGTTTCCAGGCATCAGCTGTCTCCACAGTTTCAGCTAGAAACTCTACAACTGGACAATAAGTGCGAGAGAGAAATGACGGCAAATGTTTATACACGTAGATTCATGTGTGTACGTAGGTGCATAGATATGCCTAGGGCATCACTAAACGTTTACTCTCTGGTAACATGATACAGGTTGTGGGTTACAGAGAACATAGATACTCTTTTCTGACAGAACAGTCATTGTTCTCTTTCATATCCTTGTATTTCTCTGACCTTCCCTAGCACTCCTGCAAGGTAGACAAGTTTACTCCCATTTTACAGATGAGGTTGAACGCTGACCTGGCGTTTGCACAGGGTCAGCGCTGGGTCGAGCAGCCAAGCGCTGGGCCCATTTTTGCTTTTTGGCCAAGGGGTTGACTGTGAGGTGTGCTTGGCCAGAAAGGGCTCGGGGAGGTGGGATGGGGGTCTTTGAGCCCTGACGGGGATCCCTGCTCTCAGCATGCACCCACGGGTGCTGCCCCCTGCTGCTATTGGCTATGCTCTGTCCTAGCCTGCTTTCCAGTACCTGCGGTTCCAATCTTTCTAGTCAGGCCGTGTTCACTCTTACTGCAAGTGCAATGGCAGCCTTCCAACCAGCTTCCTGCTTCTGAGCTTCTCCTTGGAGTCCTCTCTCAGCTTGGTCTTCCTAGAAAGTTCTCCCCACAAATTGTTCGCAACTCCAGGTTGCCTACCGGTAAAGTCTGTATTTGGTGGTGTGCAGTTCACTGACCGTGTGACTGCCGTTCCAGCCTGTGTGCACTACCGCGTCTGTCTCCTCGCCCAGCCTTCCGAGTGTTCTGGAGTACAAGTCCGGGTCCAGCCGAGCCTTTCATTCCCTCACCTCTGTAGAACTCACAGCTTCCTCTGCCCAGGATGTGGGAAGACGAGAGGTGAGGTTGTACCCCCCACCCCTCATGGGGATTGAATCTGGGGCCTTTGCACTGAGCTACACCCCCAGCTGCTTTTGTTTTTTGACAGGGCCTCATCAAATAAGTTTCCCAGGCTGGGTTTGAACTTGAAATTTGTAGGCATGCACCACCACACCAGGCAAGGTTCTTTTTTAAACATCAACCGACAGATTTTGACTATTCGTGCAGTTTAAAAGCCAAACACCATACTGAGACACGGTATTCAAAGGGCCGGGGACATCGCTCAGTGGTGTCACGCCTGCCTAGCAAGCACAAAGTCCTGAGTTTGATTTCCAGTACCCCAAAAAAGTACAGTATTCTCTTGTCTCCCCCTTTACATTGACTTCTCTTGGGAAACCCTTTTATTAGTTACTTGTGTATCTTTCCAAGGTATCTATGCAAATATAAGCACATATAATTGTATATTCTTATTTCCCCCCATTTTTTGAGCAAGAGCATACCATATACATTATTCATCACTTTGCTTATAGTAAGTTGCTTAAATGATTTCTTTCACTACAAAGGGATTGCTTCCTCATTTTTTCTACAGTTTCATAGTATTCCATTATGTTCTTGTACCAAAATTTAATTTGTTCTCCTGTTGGTTCAGGACATTGGAGTTGTTTTTAGTATTTTATCATAATGTTCCAGTGTGTACTCAGGGATTGTTGAGTCCAAGGCTGTGTGTTACTTGAAACTCTGAAAGATATTTGTAAAATCACCCTTCATTTTTTATTTTTTTGGACTGAGGATTTTTAAATGTCAAAAGAGCAGCTCAAATCTTATTCTGAATTTCCCCCAGTCAGAAGGATCCCTCTAATCCCCACTTGTAAATACATGTATTCATGCGCTCTTTGTTTCTCAAATAAGTGAAAGGGCTCAGGTTTTTGTTTCATATCTCCATCTTTTGTATCAACAAGCACTACCGTAGAAATAAAAATAAAATAAGGTAGTTGCCCCCTGGCCTTGTTAGTGGTTGATCAAGACAAAGCTCTTCAGAAGTCAGAAGGTGCTGTGCAGGCAGCCCAGATCCAGTTTAAACATATCCACTGGGCATTGGAAGGTGGAGGTGCAGTGGAGGTGCCCAGGGGAAGCCGGATGCGTACCACAGGGAACTGATCCAGGAGCCAGCCTGTAGCTTCGGGTCGAGCGTCTGTGCAGTGTTCTGAACGTTTCCCAACAACTTTTCTGATTGGAGAATTGCATCTATAAAAGTGCGTCACTGAAATGACCACAAAGTGTATGTTAAACATTTTTAGTTAGCAAATTTGAAAAGTCAGTAATAACGTCCCCTCCGTTAAGGCACTCACCCCTCGCACACACGTTTGTCTCAGATGTGCCTCCTGTTACCCAAACGCATTTACATTCCAGAGCCCCTGCCCTCAGTAAAGTTGGCGTGGATCGGGGAAGAAGACAGAGTTCTAGGGCGCCCTGATCAGAAATGAGTTGAGCAAAGAATTACCGTCACCGTATTACCTCATCAGTGCGAGTTTCCTCTTAATTATTTTTAAAAGTTGAAAGGTTTGTAGTAGAAAAAAGCAGTTTATTTTCTGCATTTTAATCTCTTCAGGGGCTGTCTTATACTTGTCTCTTCAAATAACATTGTTGGTGGTTAAAAACAGAAATTTGTATTTTTAAATGTAAAATAAAACCTGATGAATTTGTTACTCATCAGTCTTTCAGAGCCATGATTCTGACAACCAAACCCCATTCTAAAAGCCGATGTCTAGTGTTATCACAGGGTATGTTTTATAATGAGCCATCTAAACCCTCCAAACCTGTACAATGGCAAGTAAGAAATTTACATTTATCTTTCTGTAGTCCCTCCCACTTTAAACAACTGCTGTTGCCAGTGTCCAGTAACCACTCCCAGGTCTGTTTTCCGAGTGTACTCATTCATGTGTGATGAACACACACACAGCCCCCTTCCTACACATACATGAGGGCTGTGTGCCACATCTGTTTCCAGTTTACCTCACAGACCAAAGCAGACTAATTTGCTTCAGTCTGCGCGCACACACACTGTTCTCCAGCTGCATGCTCTCGCATTACATGAACGTTTTGTAGCCCTCCAGTCGCTTACTGGCCAGTGATTAGGGTGGCAGTCTTTCTGCTACAGATCCCACTCCCTCAGGCACCCCTTCCGTCTGTTTCTGTGCATGCGTGTGTGTGCATCTGAAGGGTAAGTTCTGACGCCTGGGATGATGAAGTCAGAGGTATGCGTTTTACCTTCTGTGTCCAGAAGCCCTAAAGGTACAGCATCAGTGTGCACAAGTGCGGTTTCCCACACCCCTCCAAGGCTATGACTGTCACTTCCCACCCTTACCGGCCTTGCAGGTGAAAAGTGGTGTTCTGTTGTGGTTCCCACTGGTCCTTTTCATGATGCAGCATTATTTCGTCCAGGCAAGAAAGCCAGCTCTGAACTGCAGGCAAGTGGGAAGAAACCCACTTGTTATGGGTCACTAGGTGCGCTCCTTTCTCTATTCCTTTTTGGGGTGAAAGTAAGACAGTCTGGTTAAAAATCCTCATGGGGACACAAGCATTTAAAGTTGAGGTAGCAAAACTTCCCATTTATTTAACAAATCCATTCCTTTTTCGCTGACCTCATTCTTTTTCTAGGCTGCCATTATATCTTTTAGGTGTCCCTTTCCCAAGTCCTTGTGCTAGTGCCCCTCACTGGCCAGAGAAAGGAACGTTCTTGACTTTCTTCTGTGTGGACTGTCCCTCCTCAAAAAAAGTTTCTTTCAGAATTAGCAGCATCTCTTCTTGGTTGTTCCTGAAATTACTTTCTCTGCTGGAGACAGGGTGCCAGCTTTGTGTGGACAATGCCTTTCTCCTGTAGCCCCAGCCTCTAGAACAGTGCCGGACACCTCAGGCCATCGCTTCCTGTTGCAGAAGGCATAGAAGTTTTTCTTACTGTAAAGGACAGAGTTTACTGTTTTAGTACCTTTGCACAGTGCAGTGGCGTTCCGTCCTTTTATTTCAGATGTGTAAATGAGTGATGGTATTGATTACTTTCCTTCAAAGTTGCCAGGAGCCAGATGATCATGTTCCTTCTCCTTCCTCTTCCTTCCTCCAGACGAAGTAATAAGGAAGCGTCTCCTTATTGACGGAGATGGTGCTGGAGATGACCGCAGAATTAATCTGCTAGTGAAGAGCTTCATTAAGTGGTGCAACTCTGGATCCCAAGAAGAGGGGTATTTCATTTTACTCTTTTCCTATGCCAGTGTCCTAATGTGATTTTATTAAGGTCCTGTTAGTATTTCAAAGTTTCACTCACCTTAAATATACAGTGAGGTCGCTTCTCGATTAATCAAATGTAGTGTTTTCCTGGCCATCTCCTATCTCCAAAGGGCCTCCATTATGTTTATGAAACATGCAGAAGGTGAAAAAAAGAAAAAATGATGAAATTCAAGATCATTAGTTTGATTACTTTTAGCAGATAAGTATGTAGAATAATAAAATAGCTAAGTGAAAATTTCTCCTTTGTTAATAAGTCTATAAAGTTGCTACAAAGTTTGCATGACTATATGGTCTTTGTTTGTTATTTTGTACTTCCTGATACAGGGCCTCACTGTAGTTCAGACTGGCTTTGTGCTTTGTGTGTAGCCCAGGCAGCCCTTGGGCTCCTCCTGCCCCAGAGTCATCACACTCAGCTATATTCTGAATAATTTCTTAACATAGATCAATTCTCGGACTGGGGATTTAGTTCAGTGGTTCCACCGCCTGCCTTGCAAACGTGAGGACCCAAGTTTCATCCCCCATACCAAAAAAAACAAAACAAAACAAAACAAAAACCAAAAAACGTGTCAGAACAATTCTCTTCGGATTTGCTTGCATAGATACTTGTTACATCCACAAGTGTGAAAAACTTAGCTGAACAGAATTGTGAAGATAAGCAACCCTCATAATCAGCATTTTTAAAAGTGTTTAAACTATTCAGAAAATTTATTTGAGTTAAGACTATGTTGCTGTGAACCATAGTCCCATCTTGCATCTGTAATTAAGCCAGTTTATGAAGTTTAAAACACATTTAAAAAAAAAAAAACACGAACAGATATTCTAAGTTATTTTAAAGAAACCAGTGATTCTCTCAGAGGTTGCTATAATTTAACAGCAGGTCTCTGCCTGGGTTATAACCCACAGATCTCCTTACCTGTGCACCTCGCTTCCCCCAGATACAGCCAGTACCAACGCATGCTGAGCACGCTGGCCCAGTGTGAGTTCTCCATGGGCAAAACCTTGCTGGTGTATGACATGAATCTCAGGGAGATGGAGAACTATGAAAAAATTTACAAAGAAATAGGTGAGAAACAAAGTAATTCATGTGTCTGTCTCTAATTTTATTTTTTCATGTTCTAAATTTAAAAAATGCTAAAAATCTTCCTTGGTGGCAAAAGGATAACAACAATTACAGTATAGTAGAAATAACACAGTAAATATTAGCTACAAAATGTTTATTCTAATATGATACAGTGCTTTGGTTTGTAACATGTATTTTGTTAGTGATGGAACTTCAATTTAGAAACATTTTACATTTGAGAATGGATGGAGAATACATGTTATAACATTAAAAAAAAACCCTTTCTATGTAGAATGCAGTATTGCAGGAGCACATGAAAAAATTGCTGAGTGCAAAAAGCAGATTCTTCAAGCAAAGCGAATACGAAAAAATCGCCAAGGTAAGGATCTTGAGGGATTTGGGGTGCAAGTACTTTTATTACTGACTGGCATTTTCATGCAGTTTTTTATTTTTATTCTTTTTTTTATTTTTTGGTTTTTTTTGAGACAGGGCCTCACTATGTAGTTGAGACTGACCTGGAACTCACTATGTAGCCCAAGCTGGTCTCGAACTCGCAGTGATACTCCTGCCTCAGCCTCTCGAGTGCTGGGATTACAGGCGTGTGCCACCACACCTGGCTTCATGCAGTTTTTGATGTTGTAACGTAAAATCTGTAGCCAGAACCAACATAATTTACCAAAAAATTATGAGCCATGTTTAATTCTAAAGCCATATTATTCTTTAAAATAGAGAAGAAAAGCCATGCTTAAGAAAATGGTTTTACTATCATGTGTTCATTATCCAAGTATTTTGTAGTTTAACATTTTTCTGTCTTTAGACTCTTTGGCCTGAAAAACATGATTAATCAGGAAAGCTGATTTACAGAAGTATACGAGATTTAGAGGTTGTTTAGAAACAAACAAATGGAGCTACTTTTAAAAAATTTAAATTCTGTGGATCTTTAAAACAAGCAAATATCTAATAAGAAAGTTTAATTTTGTTCTAATCTCTTTTGTTTTAAAATTGGGATATGCCTTTCCTTAGCTAAAGCACTTTCAAAATAAGTTTTAATTGCAAGGTCATAGCTCATCCTATAATATAAATTGAAAAATGTAAAAGTAAAATACATTCTATAATGACAAATGTAATGTATGTGAAAAACTAGAAGGAAATAGAAAATGGTTATTTGGGAGTTGTGGGTTTTTATGGCTTATGTTTTTTCTATTTTTGTACTGAGTATGTTACTACTTTGTAATGCAAAAGATTTTATTTTTAAAAATCATGCTTACTTAATATTCAGAGTTTATTCATGAATTTCAATTTTTAATTAGGTAATTAAAATGAAATTTTATTTCCTTTTTTGGGGGGGGATACAGGGGATCGAACTCAGGCCCTTGTGCTTGTGAGGCAGGTGCTGGAGCTAAATCCCAGCCCATCCTTTTTATTTTTATATGTATTTACTTTTTGGTGGTCCTGGGAATTAAATCCCAGTCTCACAAATGCTAAGCCAGTGCTTTGCCACTAAGCTCTATCTCTAACCTTATGTTTCCTTTTTAAAAGCTAGCTTTTGTGCCGGGCGTGGTGGCACACACCTGTAATCCCAGCACTCAGGAGGCTGAGGCAGGAGGATTGCTGAAGTTTGAGGCCAGCCTGTGCTTCCTAGCGAGTTCAAGGCCAGCTGGTACTACATAGGGAGACTCTATCTCAATCAGTCAGTCAATCAATAAAAGTTGGCTTTTGCATTCATTTCAAAGTAATTATGGTAAAGTTTCAGTGGCCGGTTTATAGGAAGAAATACCAGCTCACATAATATAATTAATTACAAATTACTTAGAAATATTTTGCAGTGTTTTTATTTGTTAGGAGATATTAAAGTCAATCCTACTGTTTATCATTTCATAAGAAAGGTTAGCAGGGTGAACATGGCTTAGTTTTGGAGGGCTCCATGAAGTAAAAATAATGACCTTAATTTTAATTTTAAGTCATTTCAAAGTTTTGAAACATTTTACCTTTAGAATCGTGAGCCATGCTGTTGCCTAAGATCTGGGAATAGTGGTAGGATGTACTTCCCTCACTGGTGTTGTTGTTGTTGGGAAAACGATGAAGAAGATGCTTTTCACAGTCAGTCTGCTTGCAGCGCAGCACTGACAGAGGCCCGTTAGGACAGGGAGCAGAGGGCTCTGCACCCACATGCAGGGTTAGCTTTCTCCACATGGCAGGGAGGGAGCATGCTGGGCACTCAGACTCAGCAGAGGCAGGGAGAGTTGACCCCTGACATCCATCTAGCGTGTGTCAGTGGAAGACCAAGCAGGACCTAAATCCCCGGGTGGAGCACTTTCAATGTCGCCAGTACTCTAGTTTTGGCTCAGCGAAGGGAAACTAGCAATATTCTCTGTGCATCATTGTTTTTCTTTGAATAGGAGAAACTTATGATATTACACATTTTGTCTTGATAATCCAGAATTGAAAAAAAAACCTTAATTTTGCCCCCCCTCTTTGTCTTTCAGAATATGATGCTTTGGCAAAGGTGATCCAGCATCATCCAGATAGGCATGAGACTTTAAAGTAAGTTAGAGCTTCATGTTGTACATGTAGTTACTTTTTCCATTGCTGAGACAAAATACCTGATAACCAAAGTTAGAAGAGGAAAGGTTTTTTTCAGCTCACAGTTTGTAGAGGTTTCAGTTCCTAAGCAGCTGGCTTCATGGTAGGGTGGCATGGCAGAGGGCATGGCAGAAGAGAAACAGTCCATGGTGGGCAGAAGGCAGCAAAAGCAGCAAGCTACAAGCAACACACAACCTCAGCAGCCCTTTTTTTTTTATATTATATACAGGCTATCTGCCCTTAAGGTGGGTAACACACCCAGGGAGGGCCTTCCCATTATCCTCACCCAGAACTATGCCAAATCAGTTGTACTAATTTACTAATCACACATCCTTGATCCCAGCATCACACACTATATTCAACTACCTCTTGAGGCTTTTCAGTGTGGCAAGATGTGATCATGCACATGAGGCTTTGGGGGGGACATCTAGACACAAGCCATAACACCAGCCTCTACATATAGACATTCAACTACCAATCTGTGCAACTTGGTAGTTTGTTTGTTTGTTTGTTCATTCGTTTGTGACAGGGTCTCACTGTGTACCTCAGGCTGGCCCTGAACTCATTATGTATTCCAGGATGGCCTCAAACTTGTGGTAATCCTCCTGCCACAGCCTCCCAAATGGTGGTATTACGGGCATGTGCCACCACTCCTGGTCTGCATTTCGTTTTTATAGAACACATGGTATAGGGCCAGGGATGTTGCTCAGCAGCACTGTATCTGCCTGGTAAGCACAAGGTCCTGAGTTCAATTCCTTGTACCAAGAAAAAAAAAGAAGAAGAAGAAGAAGAAGAAACACATGGTGTTAAGTCAAAAGGAGGTCTCACATTTCAGCACCATGTATTCTTTTTTAGGCAGGGTTTTGCTTTGTGATGTAGGTCAGCCTCTAACTCACAGTGATCCTCCTGCCTCAGCCTCCTGAGTGATGAGATTACAGGCGTGTGCCACTGTGCCTGGCTCAGTGTCATGTATTCTAACAGTTCCTCATTGAATCTGTTTTTCCTCTAACCTTATTACCTTTACATCTACAAGAAATTCATATAATGTACCTCAACAGGAAAATGCATAAAGATTATATTATATGCATGTAATAGAATACTAAATAACAGCAAATTAGAATATACTACACACTTTTTAAATCAAAACTGCTTTTTTATTATCATGACATAAATATCCTTACTCTACATGAAGAACAAACGTGGGCTAGCTGGGCCACGCAGGAGGAGGCAGCCTTCCCGGAGTGCTGGCCAGAAGAGGGCAGATGGGCCCTGGGGACAGTGCGGGGACTTGGGGCGAGCCGTCCCTTGGGTGGCCCCTGGGCTGGGTGACTCCTGTGGGCTGACAGGGCTGTCACAGAGGACGGCAGGGCCTAGGGCTCTGTGTGCTTCTCCTGGGGTGAGGCGCCTCCCACGTCCTTCCCGGTCTCCAAGGCCTTGCAGGGTCCCAGGCCAGTATGGACAGGGCACCTGGAGCACTTGGACTCTGGCAGTGCCCAGAAGGGAGGCTCTGGCCGGGTCCGTGGTGACCTGCAGAGACCGGGTGGGCAGCGCTGGCACCACAGCCTCAAGCTGCCTAGGGTGACAGGGAGACCCTGGGAGGTGCCACTCAGTGGAGATGGGCGGCTCCCGGGCGGTGGGCTTGGGGGCTTGGCATAGGCGAACCCCTGACCTTGGTGGTCCCGCTCCAGCCAGCACGGCGCCATGGAAGTGAAGACATCCGGGGGGTCCTAGGCTGCTCTCTCTGCCTCCCCGGGCCTCCCACTGCTGCTTGGGACCACTCTGGGTAGACGCCCGCCTTCGGATCTGCCTTCAGGAGGGACAGGGTCAGGTCTGTCTGCAGTGGCTCCTGACAGAGGCACTGCCCTTCCCCACTGCTAAGGCAGCAGAAGACGTTTGGATGCTTCTTTCTCCCTTTCTTTTTCTTCTTTCCCACCTTCCTGACCATTTTTTCGTTTTGTTTGCACACTTGGGACTGAGCCCAGGACCTTACCCCAGACGTACAACCCCAGCCTTGGTGTTTGGTATTAGGACAGCACAGGGCCTGGCCAGGCCTCGGTGGCCCGGATGGCTGCTGCTAGCCATCCCCTGCCTCCGTCTCTGGGTGGCCGCATCTAGAGCAGGCTCCTCTTTCCTGGCTTGGTGGCACTTCTTCACCCTCAGATAGGCACTTTACAGCACAGATCAGTTAAAAAGACACTCAGTGACATCTAAATCACTTCAAGTTCCCAACACATCTGGAATAGAATATACATAGACCCACTGGTAAAAGTTAGAAACCTCATCTCAAGCATTGTAGAGCCAAACTTTGCATTAACCAGTTATACAAGTACAGTACATGCACCTTTAAAAAGATTGGAATGATACCATGGTTACCTCAGTGAGAGGCCGAGGTTGGAAGAGAGGCCTGGGATAGAGTATTCGGGTAAGGTTCAAAGGACATTGCAAGTTAATCAGCAGTATTTTATTTCTTTTACTGAAAGGAATACTTGAAGTTGGTATGACAAAATATACCCGTTCTTGGGTGTGGGTATGTCTGCATTTTCCTATATGTTAATTTTTTTGGTACCGGAGATCGAGCTCAGGCCCTTGCGCTTGCTGAGGCAGGCGCTGGAACCACTGAGCTAAATCCCTGACCCTATATGTTAATTTTTTTCAACTAAACCTGTTCTTTAAATGAAAATAGCCCATACTTAAGAGTTAAGAAATCCTCAGGTTTATGTCTCACTATAATTGTTACAATTCTTTCTCTTTTTTTATTTAAAAATACTGTTATAGTAATTTAAAATTTTGATATTAAATTTAAATTCTCTTCACCCAGTAGCAAAATATAACACTGGCTTCTTTCTTTTAGGGAACTAGAGGCTCTGGGAAAAGAGTTGGAGCGTCTCTCACACATCAGAGAGAGTGTGGAAGACAAGGTATTTACATATACACGTGTGTGCCAGCCTTTCTCGTGTGTGTACAGATCGAGTTGTATACGTTTTTCTTCTTGTTATCACAGCTGGAATTGAGACGGAAACAGTTTCATGTTCTTCTTAGCACCATCCATGAACTTCAGCAGACACTGGAGAGTAAGTAAAGTTGTCTGGGAAGGGATGTAGAGGAAGGCTTTTCAGTGACCAGAGGCGCGCTTCAGGGGCGAATGTCTGGGAGAGCACGCATCTGCAGTCGCCCAGCAGAGACCGATGGCGTGAGAAGCCCTCTGAGGATACTCCAGAGTCTTGACTTTTAGTGATACACGGTTTAAATACACAGCTAGTGTCTTTAAGGAAGGCTCCAGGGTTGTAGTCTGGAATTTTTCTCGGCCTGCTATGGTTTATCACGTGATGATTCAGGACCCAGGCAAGCAAGCGGTGTGCAGAGGCTTTTGCACTCCCAGGGGCAGAGGGTGCTTGGAGGGACCAAAGCCTTGCTCCTCGTGTTGCAGGCGGCCAGTGGGAAAGCCCTCTTACCTTTCCTTATTCCTAAGAAGGGCCTCAGATCTTGGTGGGGTTTTTCAGGGAACTCTATTACACAAATTTTAAAGCTTGATTCACCTAATAAACAATAAGCAAAAGAGTATTTTTTAAAGGAAACATTTATGTGGGACAGTTGCCACCTTGGTGGGGCAGTCAGTCTGCTGTTCTGCCAGCCGCTTTACGTGCACTGATTGGCTAATACAAAAGAAATGTTTCATACGTACACCAAATATAAAATGTAGATAAATTTGACTGCGACTTTGTGTTTCTTTCTCAATTATAGATGATGAAAAACTCTCAGAAGTAGAAGAAGCCCAAGAAACAAGCATAGAAGCAGATGCTAAGCCATAACAGGTTAATCACTCACCGTTCCTGAGATTACTGAGAGCTTAGAGTCTAGAACAGGCTATGCTCTTGAGATACTTAAAGTCTTGGCAGTGAATACTTCGCTTTTAAATATTATTGCTCATTTTACTTATACTTCTTCACACAAAGAAAAATGACTTCAGTGTATATTTGTTTTTATTGAAACACTTTTTATTGTTGAAAGACAGGAAACAGCACTGAAATCAGTTGAATAAAATGTGTTCAAAGCTGGATGTTTGTGCTCCTTAGTAGTCCACGTGGTCGTTAAGTGGTAGCGTCAATTGCTTTATAACAGAAAAGATTGGGAAAGGCTGCATTTTTAGGCTGTACCTGACAAAATGAGTCCGTTTCCAGAAATTGTCACCACTTTGGAAACAAAGTCATGAATAGGCTTCGAGGCCACAAGCCTGTGAAATGATGTGTCGTGTTTATGGTGGGGAGGCACCCGTGACAGTGGGGTCGCTGCGTAAGAGGGGATCACAAGAGGCCGCGTAAACCCACAGGCACTGCTTTCTGTCTTTCTCTCTGGCACCTGAGGAACATGATTGGTAAGTGGCTTAGTGTTATGCTTGCTTTCTATGTTTGTAATGGAAAACACATTAACAGCATGAAGAGTTGTTGAGGCGGTCTTCTGTAAAGGGTTTCATAATGACTGTAAAAATTAAGCTAAGGCTGAATCACTTGTGCTCTTCTAAGGGACCTGAATTACCCACTCTTACCCATTTATTGTAGTTCAGAGACATGACGCTACATGAATCATACCATAGCAGGGTTCATTTTGTCATTTTAATAATGTTTATCTTTAAAAGTGAAAGTTTAAAATTACCTCAGTCGTAGTCGTATTAAAGGAGTCAAAATACCTTTAAATGCTTCCTCTAATTTCATCTGGAAGACTCTTGTGGGAGGGATTTCTTTGTAGAATTGCTAAGCCCTGAGAAACGTTTCCATTTTCCATTGTTAGGATTATGCAGGAAAAAAAACAACTGTTTATATGGACTCTTAATTAAAAATCCATTTTTGAGAAAAAAAATTTTTTAAGAAATGTTGAAAGAATTAAAAAGAATATTAAAAGAATTAAAAGAATATTCTTTTTTAAAAGCCCCCATTTATTAATTCACCAAGGAGATTTATTCCAGAGTACATAATCAAAAGATAAGAATCTCTACCAAAAATAACTTATCCAGAAAAGTCAGAAGCAGCAGCAAGTACACGGGAAGCACACGTTTTTCAGTTTGTACTTCCTCATGGTTCTCTTGGACATCCTCTGGAACTGCTTAGAACACTGAAGAATTTCATCTCCGAGAAACTCACACTGCTGAAGCTCAGCGTGCCTCTGGGCTAACAGTTTCATGGATTTATCCGTCACTGTCTCTAGGAGGTCATCCACCTGGGACAGGAGATCACGTGTGGGAAAGACTCGTCAAAACCAAAGAGACGGTTGCTTTCCTGAGATAAGTTCAGAAGTTGGGGGCATGTTACAGGTCTCAGAGTAGTATTTATTCTAATTCAAGTCATAGCAAGTAATATATTTACTACCCAGCGATAGACTATCTCATCTCTCCTCAAAAGAAGCCTGTGTGTGTAGGCTTTCATTCCAGTGGAATTCACTTACTAGCTACTGGGCCTGCAGCATCATCCCCGGTGCCCCTCAGCAGCCTTCGGCCACTTTCAGAGCACCCCCACAACACTAGTTCCTAATGCTACTTGTCAGTTATGTCCCACATCTGTCTGCCTGGCGGGGCCATGGATTCCATTACGCCTGGTCCTCTGCTGCTTCCGAGACCCCAGAGCGAAAGCCTTTGTCCACTACCTGCACTTGCAGCTTTCCCACTGTCAGATCTGATTTTTGGAGGATGCTTTCCATGCCACGTTTCTTTTTTTTAAGCACTGGAAAATATGGTCTCTTTTTTGATGAATATGATACCTATTATAAAAATGCAGAAACACAGAATTAGGAAATTCCAATGTTATTTCTCTGCCAGCATTTAAATAATAAGAATTCTCACCCTTTGGCTATTCTCTTACGAAGGGGACATTTGCCACATAACAACATGGGGGTTGGAGCCCATATTCATATTATTCTCCATGCCCCATGTATCTCCTTTGTGCCCAGAGCTCTCTTTGAAGAGATCTGTAGGGTGCAGAGAAATGAGACTGTCTGGCTCTGAAAGAATACACAGTGTCAGGAAAAAAGCAGGTCATTCGTCAGGGGAGGCGGGAGGAATTGTCCGGGGCTGCAGGGCACAGTGAGTGTGGGGCTGTTGTGGACCAGTGCCCCAGAAAGCTCATTATTGCCGATCCGGTTGTTAATCTGGTCTCATTTCTGCAGGTTTCTTATTTTCATGGCGGTCATGTCTCCAAACATAAAAAGAAAGCCCTGGGTTCTTTCTACCCCCTGCCTGAGACTTCTCATTGTCCCTGGCTCACTGGCCACGAGTGCCTGTCCTGATAGTGTGGCTGTTGGGAGCCACTCCTAGGTCACAGGTCCTGGCTAATAGGCCCTTTTCAGACTCAGCGTGCCTGCCCCTTGTATTTGATCATTAGCACAAGGACTTATGAAGCCTATGCAGAGTGGGGCTGGGGCCACACCAGGGTCCCCTCTGCCTGGAGTTTACAGGTGCAACATGTGTCCCTCTGCTGCCCTGCCTGCTTGTGGGCCGCTCTGCAGGACATCCCCATCCATCTTTTTCTCTCATAAAACCCAGTACGTTCTCCTGCCAGGCACCCATCACACTTGTAATTCCAAAGCTATTTTTGTGCTGGTTGAATGCAGCTGTTACCAAGTCCAGTGCCTCACCCGCAGGTCTTGTGACCCAGGACCCTCGGGCTGTGTGGTTCAGAGAGCACACACCTCCTGGGTGTACTTCTTTGCAGCCTCTGTGGGTTGCCCCGAGAAACTGTGGGCCTTGTGCTTCCAAATTTTCCTGCTTTTTCAGAAGAAATTTGGAAAATCTAGATTTCAATTTAAAACATCGTGATTTTAAAATGAGGATGATGAATTCAAAAGAACAATCCAAAGCCTAAACAAAACCCTTCTAGAGCCAAGTGACAGTCACCACCTTAGTGTTTTTGACGTATTTAGATGTGCTTATTTATTTGAGACAGGGTCTCACTATGTAGTTTAGTTGGCCTTGAACTTACTTTGCAGCCCAGGCTGGCCTCAAACTCATGGCAATCCTCTTGTCTCAACCTCTGAGTCCTGGGATTACAGGCATATGCTGCCATGTTCAGCAGTACAGAAGTTCTTAATTTAATTATAGCCAAATGTATTAAGCTTTATGGCCGATACAGTTTGTGCACTAAAAAGTCTCAGAGCCAGGTGGGGTGGTGCCCAGCACTCCGGAGGTGGGGGCTGGAGGATTGTTGCAAGTTTGAGGCCAGTCTGAGCTACATAGTGAATTCAAGACCAGCCTGAAAAATGTAGCAAGACGCTGTCTCAACAAAACAAACAAAAAGTCTTTCTCTGGCCTGAATTCATGACAGTTGTCTTATAGTCCTCTGGAAGTTTTGAGATTTGCTTTTCCCACTTAACTCTCCAACCGAACAGGAATTAATTTTGCGGGGGAGATGGGGATCAAGTTTCACTATTCCCCATGTGGATATCTACCTGTCTCAGTGCCATTTATTCAAAAGAGGATCCTTACCTCTGCGTTCTGCGATACTATAGCTTAATGTATTTCTCCTCTGTTAGACAGTGATTTCCACAAAAGGCAGTTCACACCCATTAGATTACAGTCTAGAGATTGCCCAGAACATGCTAGGGCACAATTTGTACACACAGCCACAGGCCAAGATTCAAAATGGATCCTGGTGCACTGTGGGGACCCAGCACAGTCTGACAGAACTTTCTCTCCAGTGGGAGTGCTCTCTGTGTCGTCCAATAAAAAAGCACCAGCTTCTTGTGGTTATTTGCCACACGAAATGTAGCTGAGGAACTTAAATTTCAATTTTATTTCATTTTAATTAATGTAACTAGTCACCTGCAGCTCTTGGCTGTCCCACTGGTCAGAATACCTGGGCAGTGCAATAAATACATAGCACAGTAATTAGGAATGAGGGGCTTCTTCCCATGAATGGCCTGAGCTGACCTGTGAAAATGGTTCGCTACTCTCAGAAAACCCCACAAATCCACGAGGGTGTGCATGTCCAAAAGACCACCAAGTATCTGTTAAAGAAGCGACATGTGCCCTTCTGGGGTTGGTGTGGTGCAGTTGGTAGGTGTGCCCTGGCCAAACAGCGGGGCTGGACACAGGGTCGGTGGCCCAAAGAGAACACTGAATTTCTTGGCAATGCAGAGAGTGACGCTGGACTGAAGGCTTTAGGCGTAGATTCTCTGGTCACTGAACACATCCAGGTGAGGAAGGCACCCGAGATGCACCGCTGGGCTTAGCCATACCTGTGCTCCCACGCCACCCTGTCACTGTCAAGGGGCAAACTGCCTCAACCATGGGAGGAAGGTGCACAGAAGAAGAAAGCGTCCCAGGAGAAACAAGAAACAAAGCTTACAGCATGGGAGTTAATTAGGCATAAAATAAATGCCCCCAAAAATATGGGGTTGGAAGTGTAGCTCGCTGTTAGAACACGTGCTTAGCATGTGTGAGCTCTGGGCTCAATCCCAAAACCACCGAAAAAAGAAAGAAAAAAGAACAAAGGTTCTAGAGTCAGGTATTCCCGTGTCAGGAGCCTGGCCCTGCTGCGCCTCTGGACACATTGCTTAACTGGTGAATGTCACCCAGAAATGAGGACAGCATTGCTGCATGCCTCATGGGGCTGCTGTGAGAATGAACAGAGTTGATGTACTTAAAAAATGGAGCCTGGGAGAGTAACAGCTTGAAGTTAGTATTTACCATTCATAAATTAGTAATAGTTCAGGGTCATTTTTTTAAACTGGGGCAGATTGTCACAGTGGTGCATTTCTGGAGTATCACATTACTCAGGAGGCAGAGGCAGGAAAATCACTTGAGCCTATTAGGTTAAGAACGGCCCGGGTAAAATAGTAAGGTCCCATCTTAAACAGAAAAAAAAAAAAATCTACTTTTCCGATTGTGATATTGTTTTCTAAAAAAATTAGTCTGGGTAATGTAAGCTCACATGTGCCTTCGGGTAAGCAAATCTTTGGCTGGAGTCCTAGATCATTAGTATGATGCTGTTTGTACTATAAACATGACCATTTCAATTCTATTTAATTTTTATCAGTATGTGTTTGCACTACATAGAGATCACCTTTATAGCAGGGCGTGAGCTCGTGTATATAACAACACATCTTAATTCCCTTCTCTCCTCCACCCCTCCCTCCACGCCTTGGTCCTCGTCACCTTTGCAAAAGTTCTGTCTCCCTTTTCCTGTTATCTGTCATTTTTTTTGATCTTTAAATTATTTAGACTTTAGGCTTCTTATGTAAGAAAAACCATATGATATTTAAGCTTGTGTGTCTGATTTATTTCACTTTATGGTCCTCATTTGAATCTTTTTCCTATGCATGACTCACATTTATCCTTCTTTGTCGGTTTCTTTTTAAATAAAATTAGGACTTAAGCTCTGGCCACATGGGGCTGATAGCTGCCTTGCTGGGCGACAGGGAATTCTACTGGACTGCACCAGTCTGTGGATTCCCCTCCACACCACAGGCACCAGTAGGCCAGCTTGCTAATATTCTAACTTGACATTTGAACACTCGAGCCCGTCGGCAGGAAGCTCCAGACCCAGCTGTTGTCCAGATTGTGTAGGCGCTGAACAGCCTGAGCTCAGAAGTAGACAATCTGGCCTGAAAAACCCTCTCTGTGCCCTAAATTCGTGGAGAAGAGACACAAGCACCAGATTTAAAGTGTTTATAATGACGAACTTATGTAGGAGAGAACTTGGTTTTTGCAAAATCCACTACTCTGGCTTATGTACAGGTCCCAGAGATAAATTTGTTTTAGCATTTTACCTTGTGCAGCCCTGATGGCAGAGATGTCACAGATAACCGCTTGGTGGTTCTCCGGGCCCTGAGGAACATGTTTCGTCCAGTTATCTCCTCAGTCTCTGCTTCTACAACATCCAGTTGTATGGTTGCTTAGAGAAAGACAACAAGAAAAGAACCCGTGAGGATCAGTTACAAACTAGTCCTTCCTATTTCAGAGTATTCTGGAAAGATGGCATCAAATGCTACTCAGTAGCTTTTACCTTTGGGGTTAAAAATAAAAAGTGACTCACATCTGTAATTCCATTCCAGCACTCTGGGAGGCTGAGGCAGGAAGATCACAGGAGTTCAAACCCACCCTAGGCAACTAAGCAACTTAGTGAGACCTTGTCCAAAATAAACATTTTAAAAAGGGTTGGGATATAGCTCAGTGTAAAGGCTGAGTGCAGCTCCTAGTACTGGTAAACAAACAAACACACACACATATACATACATAGGTTTGCTAGCCAGGCATGGTGGTGTATACCTTTAGTCCCAGGACTTGGGAGGCTGAGGTAGGAGGATGCTACAAGTTCGAGGTCAGTCTGGACTACAGAGTAAGACCCTGCTTCAAAAAACCAAACCAAAGAAACAAGTAAAAATGGATTTACATTCTTGCTCTCACTGTACACTTTCTCCAGTACACATTTGCTCTTTGTTGTGGTCACGACCTCAGCGGGCACCAACCCAGTCTGACACAGTGGGTCCCTTTCCGGGCGTGGTTCCCTTCAACCATGTAGAACCCTCCCGTGTTTCCCGTCATCCACTGATACTCATTAGTCAGTGAACACGGTTTAAACTTGTCCCCCAGAAACGTGATCAAAGCTCCAGCGTTCACAGACCACCCAAAAAGTTTTTCCTATATCAGGAACTGTGTGAAGGAATCCTGGGCTTCTCAATATTTTTCTTTATATTAAAGTCACTCTCAACTCAGTAAATACACATGTAAAGGGAACTTTCAAATGCTACAGTGAATTGAAGACCAGGATCATAAACAGACATTGAAGCTTATGTGATAAGAGTAAAGTCATGTTTTCTGCAGATGGCGCCACCCTTTTAGCTAGAGCACACCAGCGAGGGATCCTGAACTGAGGTGTTTCCTACTTAACACTTCCTGTTTTGCCAGGACCTCAACTCAGGAGGCCTAACCAGAACTTGTGGTTTCATTTTTCTTTACTTTCTTCTGTCTTTTTTAACGGTACTTGGCCTCATTCATTCGACTTCTACCCGCAACTGTTTTCCCTTTACCTCTTCACCCCAAACGCCACGCAATGCCCCAAGTTAATGCCGTGAATGTCAGAGCTATTTTCCATTCTTCCTGCATCTGCTGCTGCTGCTGCCCTAACTCCATATGTCCTCTACTCCACTACCTTCTAAAAATGCCAATCAGCTTGTGTAAATCCCCACCGTGGACATTTTCAGTGATTTCTTTTTGTTTTGGTTTGGTTTGTTCTTTTGAGATGGTCTTGCTGTGTTCAAGGCTGGACTTGAACTCACAACAGTGGTCCTCTTGCCTTAGCTTCTGGAGTGCTGGATGACAGCCACGGGCCACCACACCCTGCGACCTCCTACCACCCCTAGGAGAAGCTCTTGCGGAACAGCCTTCCCACCACATCCCAGCACTCCCCAGGCCTCTGCTGCCCGATTTTCCTTCGTCTCCTTGCCTATCTCTTAGTCCTCCTTCAGATCTCAGCTTAGCTGTTCCTTCTTCAGGAAGGTTTCTCCTGAGTGCCCTGAAAGCAGAGCACCCTCCAACTCGGCCTTGGTATATTATCTGCAGGCTGTCTGAACCCATCCTGCTCTGACTCAGAGAGGGCGGGGCCCATGCCTGCTGTGTTTGCTGCTCGACCCCGAACTCTGTGCTGGGCTTGCAATGGGCACTTAGCAGACATTTATTAAAGAGATAAAAAGGTTCTGAAGTTCAAAAGAAGAGAAACTGTCTTTGGCTCACAGAAGACAAGATAGTGAAGTTTGAGCTGCATCCTAGAGGACAGGAATGTTTCTGGAGAAACCTTAGTCCAGAGGTTTGTTACTCTGAGATAAAAGAAGTCAGTGCATGGAGTAGGAGGGATTCAGCCCTGTGTCCTGGGACCCCAGCCCCGGGCCCAGCAAGGTGGACATGTGTCCTCTGCTATTTACAGCAGAGATTTGCAGGTTGGTCCACACCAGGTAACTGCTACCTGCCTGGATGTTGTGCTAGTGGCTGTTACTCCTGGAAGATAGCGTTTGTTTGTAGGGGCAACGAGCCAGCTGGAAGCCACCAGGGTTTTGTTTCTTTGGCTCCTCCAGGCCTGAGAAAGCAGCAGCAGGTTCCAGCTTCATCACGGTGTGGAGTGGGGTCATGGGACTGTGTATAGTTCCTGATGCTGGGCTGAAAAGCACATTTAAAACACTCCAGAAGATAGCTTGGGCAGTGCAGATACACGGAATGAGGCTGTAATCATGGCTACATGATCAAAATGGCATTATATACTTTTCAAGTCCCATAGAACTGTACAACACAGAGAATGAGGCGTAATGTAAGCGAAGAACGCTGATTCATAATAATATGTCACCGCTGGCCCATCCGTTGGAGCAAACGTGCCACAACAAGGCAGGGTACTAACCCTGGAAAACCGCAGGAGTGAGGAGAGGAAGCAGGTGTGGAGGAGCTCTGGATTTTCTGTACAACTAAAACTGCTTTAAAAAATAGTGCATTTAATTTTTTAAAAAGCTACAGAAAAGAATGTAAACTCTGTGGATATTGTTAGTCATAACTCAAGAGAGTCCCAAAAAACAGCATTTCTATCTTGCAGAAAGACCCAAAGTTAACAGTTCAGGCTATTGTGTCTCTTCTCGATAGCCCACCCTACACTGTAGGATGTTTCTTTATTTTTATTTATTAGTTTGTGTGTGTGTGTGTGTGTGTGTGTGTGTGTGTGTGTGTGTGAGAGAGAGAGAGAGAGAGAGAGAGACTGTCCTGCCTCAACCTTCCTAATACTGGGGATATAGGCATGTGTCACCACACACCACTCATTGAGTATATTTTTAGATTTTTCTCCCTGCTTTTATTCGGCCCAAATTTGCTCTGCGGGGCCTGTTTTTTCCTACCTGTAATAAATGTGAAACACTGCCACCATTGGAAAATGTAAAGACTAAAAATAAAGTTAACAGTTTAAACATTACATCTGCCTGAAATTCCAGCATTTGGGAGGCTGAGGCTGGAGAATCACAAACTTGAGACCAGCCTAGGATATGTAGTGATACGCTGTCTCAAAACAAAAAGAAAAACGAAAAACAGATATAAGAAAGTCAAGTATCCTCTATGACTCACCAATCATAAGTCTTATCCACTCCTCCAACACATCTACTCTTACAAGCAGCTCTGGAAAGGCTGCAACACCAACTTTCTCGTTAGGTTCTCTGGTAGGGTACTTGGTGACCACGGTGGGGCCACACAGCAGGGCAAAGCCGCTCACCTCACTACCGGGAAGCAAGGGAGGAAGGGCCGAGGCCCCTCCAAAGACAGGCACCGCTGCTAAAGACTCCACCTCCTCCCAGCGGCGCGGACACTGAGCCGCCCCGGGCCCGCGAGCAGCACGCACAGCAGAAGGCTCTGCTGCTCTGGGCCTGGACACAGGGCAGTGGCCTTCGCTTACCGCCCTGTGAGAGCCTTCGCACTCTCGGTGTGGGGAACAGCCTGGGCGACGGAAGCTCCTGGGCCATCCTGGGGAGCAGGCGCCGAGCGTGTGCCAGGGGCGTCCTAGGGGGGCGGGCGGAGGCCTCCCTGCTGGTGCCCCCTGGCTTGTTTCTGTGCGTGTGCGGCAGCATTCTTCCAAAAGCAGTCCGCACTTTCTTCATCCATTTTTTCCCCTGGTTTTGCTGGCTTTCCTGGAATCCTGTGTCACTTTCACTGGATGATTCCTCTTTGGGGACCAAAACATTTTGTCTTACTAAGTCAGTAGACACGGCTCTGTGCCATCTAAACGAACAAACACACAAACACTGCATCAGGGACATCGAAAAGTTAAAAATGAAAACGTTATGAACATCTACATTCAAGAGTGAACAAATAACATAATTCCATAAAATGAAACGGAAGAGCACAGATCAAACCGCAGGATATGGCAACAAAACAACCGGTGCTTCGAGTTCGGTCCCCAAAGTACCTCGAGTGTAGAGTGGTCACTGTTTCATGTAACCTGCACTGCGCCGTGAGAAGGAGCTGCCTGGCTTCGGAGTGAGTAAGCTAACACACAGGCCAGGCTGGAACCCAGATCTCGTCCCAGAGGCGTACTGACAGGGAACATTGCCTCACGTTGGCACACCAAAATGCTGTTTCGGATCTGGTCTCGCCACATTTTGTTGGACGCGGGAGTTCCGAGGGGTGGCAGCCCGCTAGTGTCACCACCAAAGAACGAACCCTCAGCCCACGTCCATGCTACATTTGTCTGGATCACTGATGTAGACGAGATGTTCTAAACTCGTGTCTCCAAAATTGCAAATAGTCACTACCACCTTTGTAATTTTGGTGTATTTTTGTAACAAAAATGGACATCTCCTAATGGCTGTGTGCTAAATATTCCTCCAAGGGCTTTCCTACCACGTTACATAAATTCAGTCCTTACCCCATCGTCTGCCTTTTATACAGCAGGAAAGCAGAGTTGGGGAGGCTAAGTGCTTTGTGTCCGGGTGGTCCAAGCCCAAGATCTGCCCTTAGTCTCCAGCGAGAGCGAGAAGCCCTGCGCCCTGATAGCATTATTCACCTCATGTTTTCTCCCAGCTGAGTGTTGGGCCGGCTTTACCCAGATGGGTAATTCTTGTTATGCCTTTTTTAAAGATTAGCTTTGTTATTTTGAGGTAACTGTAGATTCACATGTAGTCGGAGAAAGAATTCAGGGAAATCCCACATATTCTTCACCCAGTTTCCCCAAGTGGTAGCGTTTACACAACCGCGAAAGGTTATCGCTGCAGGCAACCGGCGTCGGTACGGTGCAGGTACAGAACACTTCCGCAGCGCGGGGGCCTCCCTGCTGGCAAACACTCAGATACCATTTACACGACTTTTTAGCCTTGAAGAATAATCTACAAATGGAGCCCTACAGTATGTGACCGGCTAGGATTTGCGTTTGGGGGGGCAGTGGTGGGAACTGACCCAGGTTCAGCACACACTAGGCAATGGCTCCACGGCCAGTCTGTTCTCTCAGCCTTGGAGTCTGGGCTTTCGCCCACATGTACGTATGTATCAATAGTTTGCTTCTTTTCATCTCAAGCAATGTTCCGTGATGTGAATAAACCACATTCACCCACTGAAAAGCATTTTAATAGGTTCCAGTTTGGCGTTATTAAGCATAAAGCTGTTATAAACATTTATGTATAGGCTTTTGTGTGAACACGTCTTCATTTGTCAGGGTAAAATCCCAGCTACGATATTACATATCGATATTATGTCACATTACATGATACTTTATATATTTGTAATAAGGGTTACAATCAATTGACAACCATTAAGGTGCTCTTTGTGTCCTAGCTAAAACAAACGTCGCCGGTGCCACCAGGAGCAGTGTACACCCCGGCTGCCTCTGCTCAGGACTGAGCCTCACCCCTCCCTGCAGAAGAGCTGGCTGAGGGTGTGGATGTTGGTGCCCTGCGGTCTTCCCCACCATGTGACCCCGGTTACCCTTGCTTGGCTTCCAAATCTCTGGATTTTCTCACTTGAAAATGGGTACAACTATCCCTAGAAACGTGAGGATAAAAGGAAACGATTTGTGCTGGAACCCAGTGAAACTTCAGTCCGTGACAGCCTTCTCAGCACATGGCTCTGATGTGTGTGGTGGAAATGTAGGAGGTGCAGAGCCGGGAGGGCAGGAGGAGCGGGAGAGCTGGCAGCGGGGGCCTGGGTGACATTCACTGCTAGTCCTAGAGCTGTGCCCTGTTACTGCAAGGATCTTCTGGGAGATGTCAGTGAAATGTCCCAAGAAAGGACCATCATTTTCTAATCGGCCCAGAGATGATATGTGGGCAGAGATGAATCTCATGGACCCTGGAGACACTGGTCATTTTGACTGTTAAATAATTTATGCTACTGTAAATATATACATATACACTCACTCCCTCACACAAATATACAGAAATACACTTTTGGTAGCTCCAGGAATCCTGAGGGCCATCCACACCACTTCTCAGATGAAACACCCAGCTCTATGCAACCTCTGATTGCTACTCTACGTCTCCCTCATTACCCCACCTTCATCTATTTATGACCTATTTATAACACCTACGATCTATTTATAACGTGGGGAATTTGCTGCAACTACCACAACTTCTGTGATGGAAAGAATCATTAAATTTTAAATTATTTTCGATGGTAATGAATTGATTTAATTGTATTGCTTCCTCCTTAAACCACTATTTTCTACTGAAAGAGGAAACCTCTGCCATATTTCTTTCTGGCTGTGGAAATTTAGAAGTTCTCTCTTGGTGCTTCAGGCCTCATGAAAATGCCTCCTTTCTGCACTTGAGCTGTAGCTCATGGACCTGCTACGAGAAGCCAAAACAAATTGGGAAGTAAATCACCATCCTGACTCTCAAAATTAAAACATATCATGTTTGGAATATTTTATGCCTGTCTTTATGGCTTTGGCATTGGCAAGAAATGTCAGTCTAAGACTGTTCTGATGTTTCCCAGGAGAGTGTGCTCTGGTCACTTCAGCGGCCAGGACTCCAGCCCCTTCCCGGGAATGTCACCTCTAGATCCCTCCACATTGCCCTAGATAAGTGCTCCTTGGTGGTAGGGCAGGGCTGATAATTTGAAAACAGAAAGATCTAGAATTCAGTAAACTTCTTTTTCTTTTTCAAGTGAGCTCTTTCAAGGGGTAACAATGAATTACATTTTTTAAATGTACCAAGTAATGTGGAAAGGAAAAGAACATCACACAACTCCTAGGATTGTGCTAGAATTAGGCCTCAACCCCTTCGCAGTGCTCCTGAATTCACACTGTGTTGCTAGCTAGAAGTATATCTTTTGGATCATGAACAAAGGCAACACATTGTATGAACAATTATATATGCTTTTACATTAAAATATTCTATTTCTTAAAGAAAAGAGTGTGCTGTGGTGAAACAGGCTTACTACATATTTCAGCAGCCCAAATTGCTAGGACAGGGAACAGAAAGCTTTGATTGTAGACTTATTATGAAGAATGCACTAATACATTTTCAAAATAATGGCATTTGCATGGAAATGAGAAGACTGAAATTCTGATGCTAAAAATACCAACTTAGTATCAGTACTTACTTTAAAACTCAACTGTAGATGGAAAGTAAAGCTTTCACCTGTTAAAGTGAAGGCTTTTCTGATAATAAAATATGGCTTTCACCGAAACCTTGGCTTCCTGATCTAACGGAGTTCCTCTTCCTCCCCCATCCAGTCTTTATTTCCGAACGAACTGCTTAGAAAGACATGTTACCTTCTTAATCCCCACAGCAAATTTTGTTTAATGAAAAATCTAAAAGATTTTATTCAGCAGAAAAATAAATGAATCCCCAGGACCCACCTTTCAATTCCTCTTTTTCTGAATGAGCCAGTTTTCTTCGTGGGTTGCTGGAATCTTCGATACTGACCAACTCTTCCACAGACAACCTTAGCGGGGAGATAGAGTCGAGAGCGGTCCATTGTGGGTACTTTTGCTGGTGGTATTCCTTTGGATTTCTCTAACTCTTTAGCTTAAAAATTTCCAAGAGCATCACCCAGTGGCTCAGGGCACTGTCAAGTTCTAGGATGTTCAGAGTGTGCAGTGTGTAGGAAAATTTTGGAATCTCCCCCTTGTTCCCTCACAGGTGTTAGAGGCACCTTTTATGGGACTGGCCATGTTCCAACTTCAAAGGGGTCACCAGTGATGCATTTGACAGAGCAGTGGGAAATTCCACAGCACACTGTGGAATACTTCATAGATTCTTGGATACGGCTATGCAGAAGTGGGGATGTGACCATGTAAACCAACGCCATTTGGAGCAACGATTAAAAAAAAGAATCGCGCGCTAATTGACAGTCACACTCAGATGCACACGTTTGAAGTCCAAAGGGGAAAGAACCTACAGCAAGACCAATGATCTGTTGCTTCCCAGTGTCTGTCAGGGGGGGCTGGGGAATGCTGTGTGACGCACAGGACACCCACAGAAAGAGGCCAGTTGCTGCTGTGCACTCCAAGGGGTGTTCCATTAAGTACTGGAATTTTTCAGGTGTCTCTTAAAGCCCAATGCTGAAAAGGTTGAGAATCTGGCCTGGCCAGTCCCTCTGCATCTATTACACGGAAAGGAGCGAATTCCGCCGGGTGGGAGTTTCACCTCAAGGTGGCAGCAGACACCAAGATTTTCTTCCCATCTCCCTGGCGCTGTCTCAGCCTGACTGGGCGCTTAAGAAGGAAAACTCTCTGCTTTCTGTGTTTGTCTTCATCGGTGATCTGGATTGTGCTCCTCAGACTTTGACATGCAGAAGAATTACCTGGATTTTCTTTAAAATGCAGATGCCCACACAGATCACTTGGGATGGGTCCAAGGATTTACATGTCTAGCAAACTCCACGGTGGTGGTGCTGATGCTGGGTTGGGAAACCGCACTATGAGTAGTGGGGCCTTATGCATCCCGATGCCTGGGGAAAGAGCTTTCAAATGATCAAGGGGTTGGAGAGTAGCACAACAGTAGACTCGTACTTAGTCTGCATGAGATCTGGGTTCAATCCCCACTCCCAAAAGCCAAGAATAAAGCATATAACATTGAGGAACTAAAGGGGTGAGTTTGGGAATATACCCAGGTTCACATTCTAGCCCAAGAACTGAGGCTTTAGTCCACTCACCAATCCTACATGGGAATGCTTCCTCATCTTGGGTCCCAAGCCACAGCTTTATAGTGAGATTCAAATGAAATAAAAATTCTGCTTCAACAAGAAATGAGACCCAGAACTGAGGAAGCATCCCAAGAGAACAGGTGCAGATGATTTTGAGAGATAGTATAACACGCATACCTGATACGCTTTGACCAAACGGGCTGCCACTACTACATGGTCTGTTTTTCCTCATCTGTTGGAATTCCTGGGTGTTTGAAAGAAAGAATGAATGAGCATTTTCTTTCACCACAGGCCAAAGGAAGACCGTGTCCGCTAGATTATAGTTGTAGCCTCCAAACGTGAAAATTGCCTGTCTTAATGCTACTGTGTTCAGGCAGCTATCTGATTGCGTGTGAGTCCTTTTATGCTAGGAAGAGAGTTGGTCTTTATTCATGCCTGTGCTTGCACATGTCTCTGAATGCATGTCCTTGTGTGTTTACCGTCTGTAACAGGCTGAAACATTGGCTGCTGAGACTTCTTTGGAAACACGTGTAGGTCCCAGAAGACCCCTGAAGCATGTGGCGCAGCTAGAAGAAGAGGGTGTGGGTAATTAGGGCTCAGAATAATGTTGATCTGGGTCTGAATTCGAGTAATAGCTTTACCACTCATACGCTGTTGGTCTTTGGGCAGATGACAAAGCCTTCTGGGACCTCATTTTCTCATTTCTAAAACAGGAATGGTAACTGCTGTCTCCCAGGGTGTTTTATGCTTCCAGTATTCAAATATTTGAATGCCTTGTGGTTGCCAGGCACTCCGTAGACACCAAGGCCACTCAGCGAACATCACACACAGCCTCTGACCCCTCTACTTAACACACACTGAGAGAGGCTGATAACCAACAAGGAAATGAAAACATTCATTCTCTCAACTGTTAAACGCCACAGAGAAAATAAAAGAGGATGATAAAGGGCAAGGGTTAGAGGCAACGCTAGCAGGGGCATCGGGAAGGCTGCCTGCTGAGGTCACTGGGCCCAGCCCAGCGTGGAAAGTCAGTCTCATGGACACTGTGCTGTACACCAGATGGACTAGGAAGGACCAAGGCCCGAGCTGGAAGAGGTCTTTGAAAAGTGTCAGAGAGCTGAGGTGCCAGGCGCAAAGAGAAGGCCAACACTGCTGAGTCCTGCCAGCCAAACTGAAGTTTTAGTCTTGATCTTCAGAGCAATGAGAACTTAGTGAGGGTTTTAAAAGAGCTGGTACACGCATATTTATTCTGGGCAGTGGGATCCAGCAGTGAGGAAAGTGACTAGCATCCTTGCCCATGAATGACAGTTCTAGTAGAGGACCCAGATTTGGCACTGGAGCTATGAAAAAATTAGGAAAATGATACAAAGCAATCAGGAGTGGCCCAAGTGACCAAGAAAGGTCTGTTCAAGAGATGACATTTGAGACGGGACACTTAATGTGGAAAAGAAGACCAACCCTGCTAAGCTCTTGGAGGCAAAGAGGTATTCCAAAGGTCAAGAGCTGTAGGAGCAAAGTTCAGAGGTGGCTGTGAACCAGGCGTGTCGGAAAGGAGGAAGACCAGTGTGGCAGGGACATAGGCAACAAAGGAGAGGATTATGCTTCCGTTTTTAAATAGCTGCTTGGAAAGTATTTCGGGGAGGAGGACGTGCGGCTCCGACCAAGTCTTTAGGTAGGTGCTCAGACCAGAAGAGGACCGTGACGTTGAGGAGCAGTGAGCTCCACGCGTGCGGACGCACACGTAGGACATGCAAGGCTGAAAGGAAAAGGGACGTGAGCGAGCAGAGAGGGAGACTCGAAGTGGCGGCAGGCAGCACAGTAATCGCAGAAGAGGTGATGGGCTGTCATGAAGGCATGAAGGCTTACCGAAGTAAGGCGCCCACCTAAGACGCCTGAAGGTCTTCTCCTTCCCCCAGCACACTTTAAAAGTCCCTCTGCAGAGCCTAAAATGCAGTGGAGCAGGGCAGACTGGGCCCGAACACTGTTTTCCTTGTTGGCAATATTGCCCTCCTACCGAGCACAGAGGTGGCGTGACCCTGACTGTAACAACAGCTGACTCCTATGGGGAACAATGGACTGAAATCTCTAGGTGGGGGATTGCAGACAAGAACCCTCCCCCGTAGGAAGGGAACAGAGTGAGAGAGTGAGGAGCAGCAGGCGTCCGGGGAGGGGTGGGAACTCTGGCAGACCGTAGAGTACAGGGCCCATCCAATGCTACTTAGCTTCGAATTTTTAAAGATGCCCCTGTGCATATAAAATACGCTTTGTAGGCCACAGTTAGCTTACGGATTGCCAATTTGCCGTCTCCAGAGGTGTTTTGATGTTAACTCTCCATGCAGCCCCATCTTTCCCGTCCGAGGTCCTAAAGCTACCCCACCCAAGTTTTAATTTAAAGGGACTCAGTGACATTCAGCTGGGTCTCAGCCAGTTAATTACAAGATTGCCTTTGCATCTGTCTTTAATCTAGTGCCTTCTCCTCTCCCCTAGCAGCCTGCATGTCCTGTGCAAGCGTGGTAAATGGAGATTCTGGATTTTGACTCCAAACCTGGGTGTGATAAACACCTAGACCAGGGCAGGACACTGCATTTCTGTGAACTGGAGTTGCTGTTAAACTGAGCGCTCTTGAAAATGAAGGAGTCTCCCATGCTGACAGGTTCCTGAGGGAACACGGATTTGGGAGAACTTTGCATCCAGGAGTTTGAACCGGGCCCTTATCACCTGGCTCAAGCTGTTCTCCTTGCTGGGCTTCTTACCCTTTAGAGCAAAGGTATCGCTTTACAGATTTCTCAGCAGGAAGTGTGCATGTTGCCTAGAGACTGGATGTTTCGCAGAGAATCTTCCCCACCACAACTGTGAGCTCCTGAGAAGTCAGTGGAGCAAGAACCGGAAAGAAAGCAGCTCTGCTGGGCAAGGGGCTTTCACGTCCATCATGCCCTTAATACCTTTGTGTTTGGTGTTGGTTGCTGCCCCGGGTGAGTATTTCTAACAACGGACTCATGTTGCACAGTTTTGCCATGGTAAGTGTGGTCTACTAGTTTGTCTGTTACTATTCTCTTCTTAGTGTTGATGTCTGAAATGGCCAAGCTTTCCATGGCAGTAGCTCACTGGAAAGTCTCATTGCTATCAAAATGTTTTCTAAGCTACAGAATGAATGGAGTTGGGGCCAGCTCTTGAAAGGGCAAGGATCCTTCTACCAGCATCGGGCATCTGCAGACCCAGGACGAGCATTCCGTCTCCGGAAGGCCTTCCCAAGAAATGCACGGTGATGCAGAATGCGTGCAGCTATATCTGTAATAACAAAAGCTAGGAGCAGTGTATGAGGTGTGATAAAATACATGACGAATGCTTAAATTAAAACAGTTTTATTACAGCAAAAGACACATTGCCATGAATCCCTGAAAACACTCCCCTCACTCTGACCACACTTATCCCATTGTTCCTGCTGCTTTCTGAAGCACTTCTGGCCACTGTCTCTTGAGGTGCGATAAAGTTTATGGCGAACTCTGCTGCTGAGCACCGTATGGGGGAATGGCAAGCTCATAAAAGCACGGGATCTGGCACTGTGCCCCTTCTGGTTCTTCCTCAAAGTCAAAATGACCATAAAAGGTAAATGTTTTAAACTGATTCAAGGCATTGAGGCAGCCAGGACAACCCGACCAAAAACACTCATGAAAGAGGACTTTCAGAAAATGCAAGAAAGATGGGATAAGAGAAGGGGTATTTGAGGGGGACTGAAAGCAATGTAACTTTTACTGCAGTACATTTAAAAATTAAACGTTCACCGTATGTTTGGACCACATGTCATATACGTCCACCAAGGGGGGACTGAGTAAGCGATGTCTGAGCACTAGGAGGAGGCAGCCCAGGAGGCTCCTCAGCATTTGAGGGCTGACTTCTGACTCAGAGAGGGCGAGCTGCCCTCCCAGGCGGCCGGGCCGTGAGTAATAAATGGAACTGGGATTTGAGTCAGGTCTGCTCGATCCGAATCCCATTCCTGCTGTGGGTCCTCTCCTTCATCCACAAAGCTGCCGCTGTCAGCAGGGAAGGGGCTTTGCCAGTTTTGACGTTTTCCGAGTTCTATGCCAAAGAAATTTATTATGAACCATTGAGCCGCCGGACTCATTGAAGAACCGGTGGCCTGGGTCCGGCCAGGAGTTCTGCTTCTGATCCTGGCCCTGCTGTTGATCAGCTTTTCTCAGTTGTGCAGTGGAAGTCACCGGGGTACCCCCATCACCCTTGCCCCATAGGAAACGTGAGGATTAAATGAAAACATCCACGTGAAAGAATGTCCCACCAGTGGTCGTCATCGGTATTACTATTCATTTAACAAGTATGTAGGACGCGCTCCTGTTCAGTAATTAAATAAGCCCCACCCTTGCGGTTCGAGCGTGTGGTTCTTGGGGAGTCAGAGGAAATGCTGGCAGAGCCTGATGCGGTGCCGTGGGAACCCGGAAAGCCAAGTTGATCAGGCGGCGCTGGGAAGCCTTTCTGAAGGAAGAGATTCTCAAGTGGCATCTCCAGGGTGGGTAGAGTTGGAAAAAGGAAAGTGTTTTATAAACTACGTATGCTGGCCAGAGAAACAGAAAGGAAAAGTGAAACGGAGCACGGGAAGAGGGGGCTGTGGAGAGAAGAGGCAGAGAAGGGAGGAGCTCAGGCCTGGAAGGGTCAGAGGCCTTTCCGGAGTCCAGGGTCAACCTGAGTTAACAGAGCTGTTTGACTTCCCCGTGCTCCTCTCTTAGCTGACCATGGCAATATTGTTTATATTTTGCTGTGTACTGCAAAAATAGGACTCCATCACATCCCCTTAATTTGTATTCTCCCAGAAGGCAATCCCAAGAGAAGGGTTCAGGACTGTGTAGTTTATCTGGGTTGTGATTCCAGCAAACAGCAGCAGGGGATGAGAGGGCAAGAAAGTGAATCATGTTAACAGTTTCACTGTGGACCCCGGAAATCCGTGTGGAAGCTCATCTCAGTGACTCCCGCTCTGAGGAAGTTGCCATGTTCACCGGACATTGCTTGAGGCCACTGGGCAGCCTCCGGGGCGTCACTTCCTTGCTTCTGGGATGGACCTCTGCGCAGGCCCAGCTGTGCTCCAGGCAGAGGACTGGACGCCTAGGGAACATGTTGGGGTGCACGGAGGGGATGGGGGATTGGCTGCATAGTCCGAAAACCTTGAAACAGAACAAAAGCAAAACGAACAAATAATCAAACAAACAGGCAAAAATGAAAGAAAGAAAGAAAAAGAAAAGCAGAGCCGCCCTCAGGGGAGACATCGCTGGTCTCTCTCCCTTTTGCGGAGTGTGGGCCGTGATGTGGACTACGCCTCCAGAGATGTTAGCGTGGCAGAATAGAGCTGCCGTCCCCCTCTGGTGCAGAGGATGTTGTATTGAACACATAGGATATTAAAATTATTTTCTCTTTGCAGGGAAAAGGTCAGCAAAATTTTAAAAGATTCAGGTTGTCTATGTTCAGAGTTCTTTGAGTATGGTTTACAGACAAACACAGGACAAGCACTGTACCCAACAGGCCTTCCCGTTGCCCTCATGGGGCCTGGGCACCAGGGCAAGGGACGGGGGCATGGAGCCGCCAGCGGGAAAGTCCTTTGTCCCTGACCCAGAGGCCACACGTTTCCTGTGTGTCCATGAAGTTCCCGCAGCCTGGCTCGTCAGCTTGCGAGCGGAATAAGTCTCAGATCTTGATGACCCTACCGAGACACTTCAACGGATTTTAATTTTGAGACTTTAGTACAAACGAGCCAAACATTTATTGTGCGCTTCCTTCGTGGTACAAAAATGAGAAAGGGAAGCCATGCAGAAATCCACATTTTAAAAAAGCAAACTTTTGTGCTTCCTTTAAGATGTTCTAGCATTTCTCAATTTTTCCATTGAGAATGCCAACCCTGTCCTGGAGAATGCCTCTGTGCATGTGCGGGTGGCCGCGATCCGCGTGGTACTCTCACCTCACGCTTCTCTGGTTGGAGATCCCGTGATCCTCAACGCAAACCCTGTGGTCCATCCGTTCGCGCTGTCTCGTGGGTCCACACATCTGTGGGACGTGAGTATGCAGGCACACAGCATCTTCCTTTGCTGCCCCGGGAGCTCGGGATGAGACGCTTACCTCCCCTTCCTTCTTCTGGATGCAGCATTCACTGGGATCCTACAGTGTGTTAAATTAAAAATCTGCGGCACCACCAGAATCTGTTTATTTTACAGGACTGTGTCGAGGGTTTGGCTATCAAGTGCAGAGCAGTGCCTTGCCCACATGCCCTTTGCTGTCTACAGATACATGTTAATCAAGTAAGCCCATGCACAAGTATAACACCTAAACATGAGGAGAGCCAGGAAACACAGCCTGCAGGCCTTTGACAGCCCCTAAAGAGGACCTAGTTAGGGTCCCAGAGGAAGAGCTATGTGAAAAGCAATCGGCATAGTGGGTAGGAATCAAGCAGAGGTAGGAGAAAACACTCCAGGTGAAAGGAACAGATGTGCAAAGGCCCTCCAGAGAGAAAGAACAAGCCGAGGAGAAGAAGGGACTGAGTGATCAGTGAGACCGGTGTTGGAGGAGGAGCTCACTGTTCCCGCCAGGGCCAAGTTCAGGCAGGATTATTGTTCATTGTAAGAGATTCGGGTTCTTAGTTCAGGGCTCCTCAACGTGAAACCCACTAACACATAGCGTTCACTTGGCCCCTCTGTGTTACTCCCCTGGGCCACCAGGGCAAGGAGCCACCATGTTGAGCTGCAAGTCACACGCGGGTTAGGCTTTCTTGCCTGTTTGGCTCCAGCTGCAGTTGGGTCTGGGCCTTTCTTGTCTGTCCCTCTCACGCTCCTGGGGACACTGGCCAGGGGAAGCACTTTCTCCTCTGGACAGAGGGAGGCGAGTGAAGGTCAGCTCAGCCCACTTGCAGGCTCTGCTCGTATACCTCGGGCTGATGCAAGTCACAGGCTGAGCCAGGGGACAGAGAAATACACCCTACTGTTAGTAGAAGGAAATGGAAAGACACGTGGCAAAGGACATGACTATAGGAAGGGGCCAAGAACTGGGGACATTAAATTCTCTCATACCCAATAAACCACTGAGGAGCTCTGTAGAAAAGGGACGCGATTTGCGTATATTTTCAGAGCATCAGTCCAGCTCATTAGGGAGCAGGCCGTGGAGGTGCCGGCAGGTCTGTCGTGATGCTGCTGGATGACCTCCTCAACCTGGGGTCGCCAGGCTTTTGCATTTGCTTCCTGCTTCAGTTTGGTGTCAAATGCTACCTCATACTAGTTCCTCATTAGTTTAAGTGGCAGCAAAAGGCATCTGAGTGTTCAGTAGTTTTACTCATTATTTTTATGATTGGATGGCAGAGAGTGTGACTCTTCTAAGGAGAGGTTTGGGAGTCTGACAAGCTCAGTCTCCAATCATAGCTCCTACAGTTAGTGGCAACGTGACCTTGGTAAATTACTTGACTTTCCGTGCTTTGGTTTTCTTTTCTGTGTAGTGAGATTAACAACAGTAATGTTGCCTTACTCAGTGGCTGATGAAAACATGCTGTGAGGTCAGGTATGCAAAGCGACGTCCCGATGTTTAGTCCACACCGACTGGTTAGCATGCAGAACTCTCTAGAACAAATAGAGTCCGATTACTTAGCAGTATTGTAGCCAGATTAGATATCGTTAAAAAAGAAGATGTAGCCATGGTACTACAACTGTATCAAAGACCAGATCTAGATAGCATTAGAAACTGTTAAACTATGAAACAGTTTCACAGCACGGAAACATACGTGTAGATAAAGGCTGAATGAAATGAGTTAGTATCTGTTTCTGTGACTTGCGGTAAATAGGGTGCATATGCTGCTCCGAGCTGTTCTGCTGGGGGTAGCATATCATTAGCCTTTGTTGAACTTGTTTCTTTGCCACATATATCCTTGTTTGGTTTGCAAGATACTGGCTGAGCTTAGAGAAGGTGGCTGGACAGGCAAACAAAGTCCATACCTAACAAACACCAAACTGCTCTCCTGGAGAAACAATAGCACACAATGACAGAACTTGAAGTGAACTGATTAGGTAACTAAATCAATGGGAGTGGGGTGGGGCACACTCCGGCTAGGAAACCTCCAAACTGCTCCTGGTAATGGAGCAAGGTGAGGGGGCTGTGTAGGCAGTGGACCCAGCTACCCTTCTTGTGCACCAGTCCTGCTCCCTGGATGGGGGGCGGTGGCATCAACTTGAGGGACTCGAATCACCTTCCTGTCTTGTTCCAGCCGAAGTGTAAAGAAGACATTTCATTGTTTAATAAATACTGGCAGGCTAATGGAAGCCAGGTGTTGCGTAAGGCGTCAGGAAGCAGCAGGAGATAGCTGCTGAGCCTGTGAAGGGCCCAGGGCAGAGGCATCCACATGAAAGGGAAGGCTGCTAGGGCTGAGCTTTTTGGATAAGGAGTTCCCCAAGGACAATCCTATCTTGCTGGAGCTTGGGAAACACGGACATCTTTAAAATCCGGCTGTGGGTGTTAAATGACTGGTCAGAGATCATCAGGGTGTCAAGAAAAGAAGAAAGCACAGGGTCAGGAAGATGACTTCACATCTCAACTGCGTTACTCGCCAGCTGTGTTACCTTGCTGTTCCTTCAGCAGCAGCGCAGAGGGACAGCAGCATTTGCTCTGTGGGGTGAGCGTGAGGCCTCGTCCAGGCTGTTCAGGAAAGAGCAGGCAGCACATGTCATGCTCTGCTGAGTTCTCGTGGAATCGTGACAGTGCCTTCCTGTGGCTCTCAGCAATAGCGCTGGTCCATGAAAGGGTTCCGGGAGTGGAAGGTCAGGCCCAGGTTCTGCTTCCTCCTGCAGCAGGAATCTCCTACTATTTTATAGACTCTAAACTTCAGTCTCCTGCTCTGTGAAGTAGGGATGAAGACCTCTCCCATGAGATTGTCTGGATGATTCCCTGGGGAACTGAGAGCAGTGCGTGTTACCAAGGGGGTGATCCAGGCAACGTTAGCTCTTGTTACTGTGAGGTTTGTGGGGTTCCAAGAGTTGGTGCTCCAAAGGCATCCATGCAGCAGGGTAGTTAAGAGCATGAGTTTAGATGTCTGGATTTCCACCTGGCCTGTTTCCTGCTGCATGATTTTTCTAAACTTCTATTTCTTTGCTTGTAAAATGGGTGTACTAATATTATTAGTTGTACTATTTTAGGGCTAAATGATGTAATTAATATTAGATGCTCGCAGTTGCCACATAGCAAATGTTTAAGAAATGTTGTTACATTGACCAGACAAGAAAATGCAAGTCTAGAAAGACAAAATTTTATTTATGCCAGCAGGGACCTGACTCTGCTCGGAGAGAAAGGTGCCAGGCTTCTAAACTCAGGGGTTTTTATAGGGCTGTGAGCGGGAACTTCTTGGCGGGAAACAGGAACTTGGCGGGAAAGCAAAGCTCGTGTCAAAAAAGCAGAATAGCAGTTAGTGGGTGGGAATCCCATTAGGGTACATTTCGTTTCTCAGAACATATTTTTCTCCCTTTATTGCAGATGTCAACTGTAATCAGGGATGTTTCTATGAGGTCAACCAGCAGGCAGTTTCTCACAGACAAGAAGCTTTAGTTAACAAAAGGGATGCAGTTAGACAAAATGGAGTCACTTTGGTTGCTTTGGTTCAACAATGTGAGCCATCAGCATTGCTTTCCCATCACCACTTGGGCATGATTGGACTAGGATGTCCAAAGACAAGTATTCTACCCCTTCCAACAGGCATTGCTACTCAATAAAATCTTTCTTTTCTAGTAGTTCACAATTAAGAAATGTTTAGAAATAAGCCTTCCCTAACCCATGTACGTCAGGCAAGACATGGAAAGGACATCAGTGATGGAACTTTCAAAGCTTTCATATATGGATTAAGAAAAACAAATCAGAGACCTGAAGGGCCACAGGCAGTCTTGTAGGCATTTGACACTAGAGGGGTCACCCAGATCTCTTGATGCTCAACTAATGGGGTCTCAGACCAACAGAGAAATTCAAAAGCCAGTGTGAAAACCAAGAAGGAAAACTGCAATAGGACGTGAGGGTGACTGAACAGGCGAGGGACAAGAGGGACTCTCATCCCATCTGTTCAACCATTCTGGGTTCCAGATAGCTTAGACTCATGTGTAAGAACGTGAACATTGTATTAGTCAGCTTTCTCGTCACTGAGACAGAATTCCTGACACTCATGACTTAGAGGAGGAGAGGTTTATTTCAGCTCATGGTTTCAGCGGATTCAGTCCACGGTCAGCCAGCTCCAGGCAGAGATGGCCTGGTAGAAGGGCTTGGGAGAGGACAGCTGTTGACATCATGGCAGCCAGGAAGCAGAAGGAGAAGGGAGGAGCCAGGTGCGGGGTGTTTCCTTCTAGGTTACACGACCAGTGACCTGCTTCCAACCAGTCTCATCTCCTCACAGGAAACCAGCTACAAACCCACCAGTGAACTAGTGCACCAGGAGCATAGCACCCCCATGATCCAATAGCCTTCCAAACACACGGAGTTTGGGGGAAACCCAGATGAAGTCAGGTGGAGCCCAGACCCATTACAGTTCTACCTGAGGGAACTTAGCCAAGCTGCTAAACACCTACAAGTCTCAGTTTCTGCACCTATCAAATGCATCTGATCACATACTTACTTTGCAACCTCAAGGATAGAAGGAGATGCGTGTAAAATCCTCAGGGTAATCTATGAGGTAATGAAACGTAGGAGAGACTTGACAAATAGTTAACTTTGTTACTAGGAAGAATCATGGGAAGGTGGGAAGGATGGAAGGGAAACCATTTGACCGACACAAGCGAATTCTTTGCTCATAGAAGTTTTTAATAAATCAGACCACTTTGTTCCCACATTTTAAGGGCAAGATTTTGATGCCTTTTAAAAAATATTGACTGAAGCTGGCTGTGGTGATGTGCACCTCTTGACCCAGACTTTTGGTGGGGGGGTTGAGGCGGGAAGCTTGATTAAGCATGGAAATTCAACACCGGCCTGAGCCATGGACTGAGACTCTATTTCAAAAGACAAATAGAATGCCAATTGATATTTAAAATTATAGATCACAAATATCCCATGTATCCTTTTGAAGCCAGTCATTTGCTCTATTATTCCACCTTCTTTTTTAAATGTAGTTATTCACCACTGGAGTACCCAAACTGGACTTCGAGACGGTGGCACTATATTCCCTGATAATCTATGCCAAAGACAACCAAGGGGCCACAGCATCACAGACTGTTTCAATTCAAATTGCAGATGTGAATGAACCACCTGCCTTCACTGGATCCCTTGCCCAGGGAGACCAAGGTACCAAGGGTCTTTTCTTGAAGGGAGAAGCCTGCAGGGGCACATGTGTAGGCACAGGCTCTGTGTCCTGTGTGCCTGCGTGGCTGTGTGGAGAATTGCTAACAGCAGCAGCAGGAGTAAACTCTTGGCAGGGCCCTAGTGGGCACGAGCCACTGTCCTGAGAGCTGTAAATGGATTCCTTTATTCAATGTTCACAGCCCTGCGAGTGTACTCGACTCCGATTCTTATGTGATAGATAGCAGACTCAGAAAAATGAGGTGACTCGCTTGGTGTTGAAAACTATCCATTCATTTGGTTGACGACAGAGCACTAAGGTCATTCTTTTATTGGTATGATTACTTCACAGTATGTCCAGGTCATTAAACTAGAAGCTTCATGACATCAGGGATGATCCTTTAATTGCTCTCCTTTTTAATCAAGTGTGTATCTCTTTCTCTGCCTGTTAACTTTTGAAATCGCTGTCTCTATTTAATATGTAATACATGATGGTCCAAGTGATCTGTTATAGACACAAACAGCTGAGGTTCGGATGCTAAGGTTGGCCACCAAGCGGGGTGGGTTACCTTCCCTGTGTGAGTCTCAGTCCCTTCACTGGCTAAACTGAGATGTTAGTTCTGTTTTCATTACCTGACGTGTGTCACAGTGTCGAGCATGACCCATACAGTAGGTGCTCATTAAGTGCAGTTCCCTCCTTTCCCTTCCCTAAGCAGGTGACAGCCTTGGGAAAACCCAAGGTCAGATCATCCTCTGACTTCTGAAACAGCGTGCTTGGTGCCCACGAGCTTGTGGCCCCAGTCCATGCGGGCCCCGGAGCACCCCGGAAACACCGTTACCTTGGCAAGTGGCGTGTGCAGGCACGGTCAGCTCGTGAGGCCCATCCTGTCCCGTGTCGCTGTTCCCCTGAAGGGTGGGTGACTGGCAAATTAGCAAGCTTGAAATTCCCACCATCTCTAAAACATTCAGAGCTCTGGAGTGGCCCCTGGGAGAGGCTGTGTTGGGCATGTGTGAAGCTCCGGGTTGAAAGCCCTGTACCCCGAAGCCTACGGGAACAGGGCAAATTTAAGAAGACAAATATTAATGTAATAATCCGAAGTATTAATATATTAGGCAGATAACCTCAAGCCTGTTTGTCAAGCTCAGCAAAAGAGAAATAATAATAATAAAGCCACCAGTCATGTTTTGGGCTTAGGAATTAAACACTCAAAAATGTTCAATTTTTTTTTTCCAAAATATTGAAAAATAATTTGTTTCCTCCTCTTTTTATTACGCTATGTTTAGGATGCATCATAAACATATTCCTTGTGGGAGGCTGGTGCATACTCGTGTTGCGCCTTGATACCTTTTACTTTCTCCCTCCTGTTTCGTCCGTCTCCAGACCCCTCCCATCTCCACACCATCTGTCTCCTTCTCCTGTCATTCATTTCTTATTTTCATCTATACTTGAGGCTTCTCATGTAAGAGAAGCCATGTCAGTGTTGTTACTATTTATAAATCTCTTTCCTCTATGGCTGATGTGTAATAAACACTTAATAAATGGTACCTATTATTATTATTATTTTGGGGTTTTTTTTGGTACTGGGGATCGAACTCAGGTCCTTGCCTTGCAAAGCAGATGGCCTGAACCACTGAGCTAAATCCCCAGCCATTATTATTATTATTATTATTATTATTTTGTTGTTGTTGTTGTTTTGTTTTGTTTTGTTTTTTTGAGACAGGGTCTCACTGTGTAGTTGAGACCGACCTCAGTATGTAGCCCAGGCTGGTCTCGAACTCACAGCGATCCTCCTGCCTCAGCCTCCCGAGTGCTGGGATTACAGGCGTGCGCCACCACGCCCAGCTGTTGTTATTATTGACATAGTGGGAATCATTCTATAAAAACATCAGTACTGAGCAAATATAATGCTTTAAGTTTTATGTAAAGTACAGGATTGGATGAGGGAATTTTGGGTTTGACAGTGGCAAAACTCAGCCACATCTATTATGTTTCCTGGCAGCTGTTGAGATTTACATCCTAGAGGACACTGCTCTGGGCACAGCCATCTACAGGACAGCGGCCAAGGACCCTGAGGGTGCTGCTGTGGAGGTAACTTAGGTTTTGGAACAGAGAATGCCCATGGCTGGTGGTTTTATGTGTGATTGCAATGAAATCTAAAGCCTCAGCAACGTTCGAGTCCCTCATAGCACCATTCAGGTTGCAAACTTACTTGTGCCTCAACTACCAGGACTTTTCAGGTGAAAATAATTGCGGTCTGGGTTGTTTGGGTAGTTGGTCCCTTCCTGTACATTCCGTTCCGCGCAGGCGGGCCTGGCCCAGTCCTTAGGTAACGTGTAACAGAAGATGCCAAGCCATTTCGATTCATTCTCTGGGATCTGGCTGCACACACCGCAGAGGAACAAGCCAGCTTTCAGGCTGAATCCGTGTGCGCTTCAAAGCTCTCGATCTCATTGTCAGACCACGTAGAGCTCCAGAGGGGATGCAGCCGCGGGGCTGGGGCCAAGAGTCTGGGGCCAAGTCTTCACTTTCCGGGAGCAAATCACTCAACATGCCATCTGCTTCGCTGCTCTAACGGGGAGATGACACCTCCTTTGTCTTCTCTCTCATTGCTTTCTCTTACTATGTATAATTGAACACCATAACAAGAAAGCAGTCTTCAAAATGTAAGACATCTTGCAAATGGCAGGATTTGTCTTACTTCAATGTTTGATGCCAGATGGAATAGTTACGGCATTCTTAAGCTACTTTTTTTTTTTCTTTTTACTAGTGGATTGATTGGCAAGAATAGCATGTTTTAAATTTTTAATACTGTATTGCTTTCTCAATACAGTATTAAATGAGATAAAATGGGAGATTTGTTCATGTTGATGCTGCCTACTCAGCATCTACAAGTGACTGGCGATGTTGGATCGTTGCTCAAAGCAATCTGAGTCTTATAAAATTTTCTTTCAGCAGTAGATGGCCACTAATATCTGAGCCCCTTCTCCATGGTTTTCAAAATTACTGAATGCACTTGAATAATTACACAAGGGAACAGTGCGGTTGTCAAGCTCCCCCACATGTTCGTCTCCTTCTTCCCCTCCCAGTAGCACAATGCCGCAGCCAGGATGGGACTGGAAAGGTCACAGCTTCCTTTACAGCATGCAATTAAACCACCTAATCATGCATATTGCTCCACGTCAACACGTGCTAGATTATAGCACTAAATCCAGCACTGAACTACTGCAGCCACACAAGAATCAGATGTCATATTGCAGTTGCTTCCTTAGTACTGGCTGTGGCAGCTCACCCACAGTGTTGACATTTCAGGGTGGAAAACACGTGACAGTTCAGCAGGATTTCGCTGTGGCTCTAACATGCAATCAGAATGACTTACTAGCCAATCCGTGCAAGTAATTCATTCAAATGATGGACTGCCGTTGCTTGCGCACGCAGATTAAATGCTTCTGTGCCTGGCCCTATACTTTTCTCAAAAGAGAATTTGTTCCTGGGCCAGAGATAGTGACATGGATTGTGGAAATCTGTATTTAGACACACACCTACTCACATCTTCTGACACAATAGCTTAGAACAGATGTGTTATTCAAGAACTATTCCTGGGAAACCACCTTTATGTGTAGCTTTGCATCATCTCAGATAAATATTGGTTGTAATATAGGGAAGAGACTGGCACCATTTTGGAGCCCCACATATGATGATGATTATACCAATATACCAAACATTCACAAACGGTGCTTCATAAAATCAAGTTCCACCAAGGGATCCATGAAAACAGTGAAAGACTTATGATCGAATGACTTTTGGAAAAGATGTCAACATATCTCTTTTGAATTTATAGTAATTGACACAGAAAATGCTGTCTGGAATTGTCTAAAAGACACTTTTTTGTTTAATCAAGTTTGTTCTAATTATTTTTCCATAGCACTTTAAAAAGGTATCATCAATTAGTACTTCAAGTAGTATTTTACTAGCATTCCACAGAGTAGAATGCTACAGGGTAGAATTTACTTGCATGTAAATCCATTCTAAAACTGATAAAATGTAACATGTTCCCGGGGGTGTTAAACTGATGGAAGAGGAAATTTCAGGTGTGGACATTGCCCATAGAATAAATGTTAATGTAATGTGGTTGGATTTGATCCATACCCAGGTGCACCAAAAAACAAGGCCTTGGGATGTCTGTGCTCTATTACTATTGCTGTGGTACAGGTTAAGGACATCTGACACTATGGTACAGGGGGTGTTCTGAACCATGGAAAAAGTGGCACTTCTTATCCTGACCAGAAAGGAAAGTGAACCAAAGGAAAACCAGCAGGTTTGCTTGAACTCATCAGGGCAGACTCCCACCCCAGATCTGGAGAGACAAGTGAATTCAGTGTTCCAACTGCTTTCTGCTTATCTGGGGTAGCAGCTGTTGGAGCTGTAGTCTGGCAGGAAGTTTTACACAGTGCTGGAGGCTGAGTGTGGGCTAGCAAATCAAAGAATGGAAGAGTATTCCATGCAACAGGAGCCCAGAAAAGAGCAGAAGTAGCTATTCTAATTTCAGCAAAGTGGATTTCAAACCAAAACTAATCAGGAGACAGAAAAGTTCACTACATATTGGTTAAGGGAACAGTTCAATAGACAACAGGAAGAGATAACAATTTTAAACATATATGCACCAAATATTGGCAACTTTATAAAACAAATGCTACTGAACTTGAAAGATCCATTATAATTGTATTGATATTTATCCACTCTTGTAAAGATAGCAATATCGTAAGTGACAAGAGAGAGGAATAGGGAATATTCTGTTTTCAGGTATCTATATTACATGCAAAGTGCTATAATTAATTTGAAGCTGCCCTTAGATTAATTAAAGTTTGTATTGGAAACTTTGAGAAATTTTTAATAAAGATATATAATTGATTTGCTAAAAAGGCAAATATAGTAGAATAATGTTAAAATGCACAATTAAAACAGAAAAGAAGAAAAAAAGAAGTAAATGCAACAAATGGGAAACTGTTACAACCATGTTAGATATTAGTCCGATTAATACAAGTGTCTGAGTGCATCAATTCAAAGACAGAGATTGTCAGAGTGGGTTTTTAAAAAGGCTCATACATTTATGTTGTCTGAGCAAACCTACTATCAATGTAAAAACTCACATAGGCTAAAAGCAAAGAGATGGAGAAGCATCATGTTAACATGGAGACAGGGAAAGCTGAAGGCACTACATTATTTTCCAACAAATGTGGAGGTGAGCTGCTAAGGGCGGGCCAGCAGGGTCTTGATTTCATCTTGGGATGACCAAGACCAAGATACCAATAGACAGAAGAGGCCTCCTTTCCTGCCCTGCAGAGGGACTTCCTGGTGACAGGCAATGGCTGTTGAAGCCACTCCTCCCTGTGGAAGTCAGACGTCTCTCTGGGTCTTTGACCCCAGCTCTGGAAACCACTCCCACCCTTATCACAAATCCCTCCCCACCATAGTTTACTGACCTCTAGGGGAATTTACACCAGATGTCAGCTTGGAAGTCTGAATACACTGTCTCAGTTCAGCTCTGCTGAACCTAAAAGGTACCTTTCACAGTAATGTGTTGTGCCTTAGAGTGACTATGGAAAGAGTCCCTTTGGAACACAGGCCCAAGCTTTTAAGACAAGCAGCATGTGTGGCAGTGGGGAGAGAGGTAGGTAGGGGGAGGCTAGGAATGTGATAGGGCCATTTTCATGAAATAAAATTTAATCTCTCCAGTTCGAAAGAAAATGGCTAATTCAGATAGCCTGAAGTTAGTAACAAATCTCAGAACATATGTCTCTAAATATATGGAGGGATTCTATTAACTTCACTTCTGTTTTCATTTGGGCCTTAGACATTAGGAAGTAATCACTGAATCAACATTTAAGAACTTGTTGGAGAGATTTTTCAAGGTTCCAGACAAGGGGTACTTTCTGAAAGTTTTGTGGTAGGCATTGAAAGAGGAAAAGGTATACCATTTAATGATAGCTATAAACCTACCTCTATGGTATCATTGTTTTTCCCTCTTTGGTGAAATCAGTGTAATGACTCACTGCAGACCACAGATTAGACATGGAAATAAACAGTATTTTCTCTTCAGTCAAGTATATTGACTGAAGGCTGACAATGATCAGATTTTTATGGGAACGTGATATTTGGAAATTCTAAAGGGCATAATTAGTGATGGAACCATCAAAGGACTCAACAATTATCCTGCAGTAGAGCTTATAATTATGGGCCTGAGTATTTTAATTACATATTCCTATTTTATAACTCAGCTGTAAAACAAACATTAAAGAGGAGGAAAAGATGAGTCTACTGCATTAGAAACCAGAATATGTAAATTTTTCTCACAATTTAGAGTGGTAATTGTGCCCTTAATGGATTTTAAAATGTAATAATTTTGGAAAAGAAGCCTATATCCTTTCAGTAGCACCTATGTTCTCAGGTTCTGTCAATTTCACAGGTGGGGAAAAACACACATCAAATAGGTCAAATCTACTCAGCTGTTGGAAGTATTAGGTTACATCATTTCTGTGCATATTTTGCAGGCAGAAATAATAAATAGGAGTTTGTTTCTTTTTTTGTGAGCTTTAGCTATCCAGAAACTATAGTGGACCCTGTGGTTGAAGGTGAGGGAAAATCTGTTGCCAGGGTGACTGAGGTAGCAATAATTGATCAGCTCAGGGAGAGCGAGTAGGGTTTTCTTCCAGGTGAATCTGGGTTCACGTGATGGAGCAGGGTGAGGTTTATTATAGGACCCATGAACTTCTGTCTATGTATATTCTTGGGAAAGAAACCAATGCCAGGAGTTTGCCTTTTAAAAGCCAGTAGCACTACTAATTACCAATACACTCAATAAAAAGAAAAAAAATAATAAAAGCCAGTAGCAGAAGCAAACCATGGATGCTTCCTTTCCAGGATCTCAAGGCATCTCTGTGGCTTGAGCTAGTTCACAGACTAGCCCGTACCCATCAGAGGGGCAGGACAGACTAAGCCCTGGGCGGCTTAGGCCCAGCTAACATGCTCTATCCCAGGAATTGTTGGAGTAAGAAAGTTTAACTGCAAAACCACCAGGACGCAGAATGTGA